CATCGCCCTTGGAACTGACGTTACGGACGGGCCCTGCATCCCTACTGATCGCAGCACGAGATAAGATAAGATAGCAACTGATTGTAGCCGATCGCTGCAGCGCTTGATTAGATGGGCGCCGATCAGATTAGATCCCCTCCAGATAGCGATAAGGACCAGCGATAGCGATAACGGTGGGGTTGAAAGCCTTTTTTTCTTAAAACCTGCGAACCCCACCATTGGCCCTGCCCTGACCTCACCTCACCTCTCTCTCCCCCCCCCCCCCAAACCATCACCAATCTGCACAATGTCAAACAACGACATCTACCAGACCCCGCTGGCCTCGCGCTATGCCTCCCCCGAGATGGCTCAGCTCTTCTCAAACAAGACGCGCTTCCGCACCTGGCGCCAGCTGTGGGTGTGGCTCGCAAAGGCCGAGAAGCAGCTCGGCCTGCCCATCCCCGACGAGGCCATCACGCAGATGGAGGCCCACCTCGACCTGACCCCCGAGGACTTCAAGGTCGCCGAGGAGGAGGAGAAGCGCCGCCGCCACGATGTCATGGCCCATGTGCACGCCTTTGGCCAGGTTGCGCCTGCCGCTGCGGGGATCATCCACTGGGGAGGCATGTTTGCACATTCTGATATTGGACCCCTTTGATTGCTTCAATTGCCAGCTAACACCCCCCTCCCCCACACAGCCACCAGCTGCTACTGCACCGACAATGCGGACCTGATCTTCCTTCGCCGCGGTCTCGAGATTGTCCTGCCAAAGCTAGCCAATGTCATCCACAAACTCTCCACCTTCGCCGTAGCACACAAGGACCTCCCCGCGCTAGGCTACACGCACTACCAGCCCGCGCAGCTCACCACCGTCGGCAAGCGCGCCACCCTCTGGATCCAGGACCTCCTCTGGGACCTACGCAACCTCACGCGCGCGCACGGCGACCTCGGCTTCCGCGGCGCCAAGGGCACCACGGGCACGCAGGCCTCGTTCCTGGCCATCTTTGGCGGCGACCACGACAAGGTCGAGGAGCTCGACCGCCTCATCACCGAGATGGCCGACTTCGAGTATGCCTACCCCGTCACGAGCCAGACGTACAGCCGCAAGGTCGACGCGGACGTCATCAGCGCGATGAGCAGCTTTGGCGCGACGTGCCAGAGGATTGGGGGTGATATTAGGCATTTGGCGGCCACGAAGGAGATGGAGGAGCCGTTTGAGAAGGACCAGATTGGAAGCTCGGCCATGGCGTATAAGAGGAACCCGATGAGGAGTGAGCGCATGTGCTCGCTGGGGAGGCATCTGGCGAACTTGTGCAAGGATGCGTTGGATACGTACTCTGCGCAGTGGTTCGAGAGGACCCTTGATGACTCGTGAGTCCCCCCTGCTCTCTACTACCACTGGTAGGTGCATCAATGGCTAACAATAACACCCAGTGCCATCCGCCGCATCGACATCCCCCACGCCTTCCTCACCACCGACGTCCTCCTGCGCATCCTCGACAATGTCGTCTCCGGCCTCGTCGTCTACCCCGCCGTCATCGCGCGCCGCATCCGCGAGGAGCTGCCCTTCATGGCCACCGAGAACTTCATCATGCGCATGGTTGCGCTCGGCGCCTCGCGCCAGGACGCCCACGAGCGCATCCGCGTGCTGTCGCACGAGGCCAGCGCGGTTGTGAAGCAGCAGGGCCGCGACAACGACCTCATCGACCGCATCAAGAAGGACGAGTTCTTTAAGCCCATCTGGGGCGAGATTGATGTGCTCATGGATCCGAAGACGTTTGTGGGCAGGGCGCCGGAGCAGACGGTCAGGTTTGTGGAGAGGGAGGTGAAGAGGGCGTTGGAGCCGTGGGCGGGCGTGTTGAGCGGGGAGGTTAGTGAGCTCAATGTTTAGAGCTGTAGTTGTATTGTGCTTTGTATATGGCCTTGGTTGGCGATAAATAAAATAAAGACATTGGCACGGTGAAAATATGTCGAGTGAGATGCCGTGAAGCTGTATTGCCTGTGTTGTATTGTAACGGTGGTGGTGGGCTACTGTTGCACTTGGGTGGCCACCTCAACGACCTCCCTCGCCCCACCACTATGTATGTAATAATTTTATCCTTTCAACGGTTTCACGGTCACCGAAGAGCTCTATATTCTATCTTACGAACAAAAACGCATCGGTATCAAGTTCTAATGAAAGCTAGTCTTCCACCTTCTCTCCAGCACTGCTATGACTTTCTGTCCACGCATTGGAAGACATGCACTCCGGTGTGCACTCCTCGCCCCTGCAAATTAGAGTTATCCTGAGCCATTCCCCCTGTTGGCTATCGATGGCTAGTATACACGAAGACTCAAACGCATACTGTCAAAATCAAGACTCTTTCATATCACCATCTTGATCATTTCACATGGTTTTTTTTTTTTTTTTTTTAATTGGCCGCCTCATATAAATCTTCAAGCTTGTGGATCCGGGGGAGGATTGTCTTAGAGCCATTTTGTTCTTAGGAAGGGGGTTAGTTGTTGAGTGCTTCATGGATAATCACTCGGTTTGTCCCTCCTCCCGTTGGATCTCCCGGTGAAAGGCCACCACCACCGTCTACTTGTAGCCATCATATAGCATGATAATTCCCTATGTATGTACCGTATGGCCTGTTAATGCCTGACTCTTCGAGAGTCTAAATTGTGGTTTGCTGGCTAAGTTGCTAGCTTGGCGTAAGTGAAGGCTAACCACCCCCACCACCAGATTTCTTTAAGCCACATCCTCTATCAGTGGCATAGCTCCTGTAGTGTAGTGGTAACACACCCGTCCGTAGATAAACCCGCTCTTCAGCTGAGAAATCCCGACTAGGGTAGCGGAGGTTCGATTCCTCCCAGGGGCTAACATTTTCTTTTTTGGCTTTTTGGTTTTCTTCCCGGGGGTTGAAGACAAATTGCCCTCCTCCCCTCTCATAAATATAGTAGGTATAATGAGAGCTAAAAGCCAAAGGAAACGGTGGAAACATTTCTTTGCTGGCGAACACTACTGACGTCCTATTCTTGATAGTAGGCATCTCCCACCCAACTTCAAAGTAAGTCCGTAAGTTGAAACGCACAATGACTCGCGCCGGGCTCTTTCCCATGGGGTTGTGTAATTCTACTTAATTTCGATCATGACTGAACCGGCCCCCCAAATGAGCTCCCCGCTTTGGAAGCTCATGCACCTTTGGAGTGGCGCAGAATACCAATCTAAACACTCAACCCACATTAATAAAGCCCACATCTCACATTGCAACTCTTCTAAACTCACACTTGGGCCATGCCCACATAATGAAGCTCGGTGCCTTTAGGTTACGTCAGGCCAGGCAGAGCTTCTGATTCCTGCCATCCATCGCAATCAAGGTTGCTGACTGCCAGCAATTAGTATTTAGGCCAGATCTTTTTTGGCACAGACAAAAATTCAAATGGACGGTGCGAACATTCCTCTCTGAGTACTGGCATCCTCTGCACCGTTCTCGCAGCAGCCAGTGACACCTAACCCTGCAATCACAATCTACCACGACGTACATCATGCCCCACACTGGCCGCCCTCTTGTATATAATGTAAGGAAAGGGATGTAGGTAGGGTAAGAGCGAGAGTGAGGGCGTGAGTTTAAGTTACCCCTCCTCAGTCCCCCATGTGCAATCACCGATTATCACTCGCAACACTACCTCCCTTCCCCTTGTCTCCCGTTGTACCACACGCCAAGCCGGCATAGAGGGTTTGGAAAAGGGGACATGCGGCCCACCCGCTGTTCCCGTGCGTTGTGGAACTGAAGAATGCAATTTCAGGAACCCGCGATTGGGTTGCAGACGGGTGGAAGTGGTTTTGGCCCACTCTAGGGGGGGGTGGATACACACGTGCAGAAACCGATACCGATATATGAAAGGATGTGTGACGAGACAGAGCCGTCCCTTGATTCTGGCCGCATGCATGCAGTGGGCGGGAGTGGGCGGGAGTGGGAACGGTGCGGATGGGGATTCTGGTGTTTATAAGGCAGTCCAAGTTGGGGGAGCGGGAATTGTATAAGAGCAAAGATTTGATGTTTCATCAAGTGCAATCAATGGCTTTCCCGGTGCAAAATGCAGTCGTTGTAACTCTAGTTCTACATGAGAGGGGGGGGGGGGGGGATAGGGATCTTTTGAAATTGCGCATGTCCTCGACATTCCCATCACTAAAACGGACAGCTTCACTGCACTGGCGATGGCGTGCCGCTTTGTGAAAGAGAGCATGGCAAGACGACTCGCAGGGAGAAGCGCCCCAAGATTTCTGCCATTCATTCAAGGATTGGGAGATTGTTTCGTCTGCTTACACGTACGTAGACAGCGAGATAATGCTAGATCAGAGTGTTGGATATCTGGCTTTTCAAATGACGTCAAACCCGTACAGGCGAGCTGTCCAGGGTCCTCACCTGTCATGTCGACACTTGTCCGATCCGTGACTGGATGGCTTTGTAGACTCTTTGTCGAGATCAGAATCTATCACGTCACTTAAACATCTCGTCCCACTGTTTCATTAATGAATTATCATCAACCAACCAATCGTCCTACCTTTCAACACAGAGCAACTGCATATGCATACAATTCATCAAGCAATCAATCAATAAACACCGAGCAAGTAAGAATAGTGAGTGATAATCCATGAAGAGACACAAGTACAGCGGTTCCCCCAAGACTAATGTTTTCCTGGGCAAGCCTTACAGCACTGATCACTATCTTCTATCACCCAGACCCAAAATCTACAAGTCTTGTGAGAGTTGAGGCCCAGGAGCACTCTCCACCCAAGCTCGGCGACAGAGTGATTTCCCATGATTGCCCCGCCACAGAAGCTTGGCTGGCAGATAATCACGTCACGTGGTGCGCGGGGAAGGCAGCTGTTCGCACGCTCGCACTCACACACACGACGTCACAGCTCTGAGAAAGAACAAGAGGATCTGAAGCAGAAGCAGAAGTGGAAGCAATTGGAACTTCACTCCATCCCCTTTCTCTCTAGCTACGAACACCCCCCACACTCACGATACAAGATGGCCTCCTCCTCTGCTTCCACCACTGGCAGCAGTAACCCTCAGCAATCACTGTCCCAGCTAGATCCTATCGACATCAGCTCACACAGCTTCAGCACGCCCTCAAAACGCATCCACAACCAGCAGGATGTCGACTACTTCCCCACCTCGCCGGCCTACAAGCTGATCACCACCTTCATCCTCCACCTCAACGCCTCCGTCTCGCCGCTCGACCACTCTACAAATGCCCTCCGCAACCCCGCCCACTACACGCTCGTCTCCGAGACCATCAACGTCTCCCCCGCCGTCCAGAACATCATCGAACTCCTCCACGCCCTCGACAGCCTCATCACGCAAGCACCCCCCGACCCCGGCCCCCGCCGCTTCGGCAACGTCGCCTTCCGCAAATGGCACGACCTCGTCGCCTCGTCGGTGCCCACGCTGCTCGACCAGCGCCTCCCGCCCCACATCGCCTCGCACCCCGGTACCAAAGCCGAGCTCCTCCCCTACCTACTCGGCTCTTTCGGGTCGGCGCAGCGCCTCGACTACGGCACCGGCCATGAGCTCTCGTTTGCGGCATTTCTCTGTTGCTTGTGGGTGCTGGGCGGGTTCGAACCCGGCCGGGATGAGATCGCACTGACCTTGCGGTGCTTTGACGCTTATTTCCACCTGGTTAGGAGGCTAGTACTGACTTATACGCTCGAGCCGGCGGGGTCGCACGGCGTCTGGGGTCTCGATGACCATGCTTTTTTGCCGTATGTCTTTGGCAGTGCGCAGTTGACCACCTATCCACCGAGTAGTAGTAGCGGTGAGGCAGCGGCGGCGGCGGCGGAGGCGCCAAAGATGGTGGATCCTGCGGTCGCGTCGGCGCTCGAGGATGTACCGAAGCCCGGGGATGTGGTGACGAGCTTGGTGGTGGAGAGGGAACGCGTGCGCAATTTGTATTTCGGCGCGGTGGGCTTTATCTACGATGTCAAGACGGGGCCGTTCTGGGAGCATAGTCCCATTCTGTACGACATCTCGGGAGTGCAGGGCGGATGGGGAAAGATCAATAAGGTATGCGCAGTTCAGCTCTCTATCACACTTTCTCTACTGTTCTAGAGTAGCTAGAGGAGTATTTGGGTACCCCCTAGCTACTCTGCTATTATTCTGCGCCGTATCGGGAGACGCTAATAATTACTTTTTTTTGTCTATTATTTTTTTATTTCTCTTTTACTAATTCACAATGTTTTCTTTTCCTCCAGGGAATGCTGAAGATGTACAACGCAGAGGTGCTTGGAAAGTTTCCGGTCGTCCAGCACTTTCCCTTCGGCAGCATCTTCAATTGGGGTGCTCCCAGTCACAGCAACACCACCGCGGCGACAACTCAACACCAGAGCAATATCAATAATAGCAGCAGCAGCAGCACCTCCCGGGGAATGCCCGACACAGGAGCACCAACATCAGCCCCAACAACAAGAGCTCCCTGGGCCACTGCGACGAACAACTCATCATCAGCTTCGCTATCAAACACCGGCGCGACAACCAGAGCTCCCTGGGCGGCAGCCGGAACACCATCCTCCAGCGCATCAATCACCCCATCCACAAGAGCACCCTGGGCGAAACCACCAGCGCCCGACAACGTCATGACCACCAAATCCGGCGAACAGCCGCTCACCACTGCGCCCTGGGCCGCACCCCAGGTCCCGCTGTACCCCACATCGGCCGGTATGAGCGCCGCGCACCACCCCCCGCCGCCGAGGCAGCTGAGCGGGGAGGACACCGTCGCGCCGTGGAAGCTTGGCGGTGAAGGTGGTGCGGAGGCAGTACCGCCGCCGCCGGTGACGGAGGCGAACTTGGGGCCGAAACGGACGTCGTCGCCGGATAGTAGGTTGGCGGCGAGCCTGGATGGGGAGGAGGCGGAGAAGAGGAGGGGAAGCTTGGGGACTGGTGGGGTCAGGGTTGCGGAGACGGGCGATCTGAGCTTGGGGAGGAAGGGAAGTGTGGTGAAGGGTGAGAATGAATAATGAGTGAGTGAGTTGAGAGATCACGTTGTTGGAAATGTGATAATAAGGGTATCATGTGGTGTATTAAGGCGTTACGAGAAGATCATCATCATCATCATCATCATTATTAACATGGCGTACTTACTGTTTTAGTTGTTGGTTTAAGCTGTCAGTCGGTCAGTTAGCAGTAGCAGTAGTTAGTTTCTTGGTTTTGTCAGATAGTAATACCTAGCTCTGAATATATGCTATCACCACTCGAAACATGGATCGTCAGCTTCTTTGTTTTTGTTTTTCTTTTTCTTCTGCCCGTGCTGTGTGCTGTGTGCTTGTGCTGTTTTATCGTTATCTCGTGGCCGTGTCTATCACATCTTACCTGCCATCTCGTGATTGTGCCATCATGATTGCGATTAAATAATTGTTGGGGTATGGGGATGGGATGGGGGGGAGCCCTTATCCGGCAAGCACATCTCCTTTTGATACCACTCCTTCTTATCCCTTCTGCTTTGGGCCTCACTGATTGTCACTTTTTTGTTTGGTTTCACGATATGCTCATGGCCCATCCCATCCCTTATCATCACCATCACCATCACAACCATCATCATGCAGGCATCCTCGTTCCGTACCTACTTTTGCCTACCCACCTACCCACCTACCCACCCACCCGCACTCTCCCCGCACATGTGCATCCCGCTGCGATGAATTTATGTAGAGTACACATGGAAAAGTAGAGGGTAGGTACCAAGGCGCGCGGAGGCACCGTAGACTACAGCATAGCAGCGCACGTAACCAGCCCAGTTGCTCCATGTACATACATAGGCACGATACGATAGACGAGAATTAAGCGGGATTTTTTTTTTTTTTTTTACTTTCTTTCTTTGCATCTGGACGGACGCTATGTACCCACATATACATTTACATCTACATGCGTATGCAAGTCAGTCTGTCAAGCCCGCGCCCGCCAAAGAAGTGGAAGCCGCGGGCCCGGGGCGGGTATTTTCTCAATCTTCCGGGGAGGGGAGTGGTGGGAGCGGTAGTGGTGGTGGTGGTGGTGGTGGTGGTGGTGGTGGTGGTGGGGCCGTGGGGAAGGAAGGAAGAATAGGGAGAAATGGAGAAATGGAGAAATAGGTATTGCAGAAAAGGGAGAAATGGAAAAGACATGACTGAACAGAATTAGAAGACGGTGACAGAATGACAGTCTTGTTGCGGTGGGAGCTGCATACCCGCTCAGTATTACCTTACTCTACTGCCTAACAGCTACATGTATGATTTATGTAGAGTAGCTTTTTTGATAGGTAGCTTTTTTTTTTCCCTCGATGTTTCGTCCAGTAGGGTTTTAGCACCCACCTCCCATCGGTATGCTCTCGATGAGCTGTCTAAAAATATTTTTTTGTTTCTTTCCCGGGGAACGAAGTTGTGCCGACTGGGGGGAGAGCGAGCTACTCTACATACTTAGCTTCTTCACGAATCGAGAATACGGGAATCGGTTCGTCGGCGAGTGTGGTTCTGTGATTCGGGGGTGGGCATGGTCGATGCAGATGGGGGTTGGTTTGCAGATGAGACTTTGTAGAGTCTGGCTGTCTGGCGACTGGAGGACACTTGCACTAACTTGGTTGGGCTGACGGGCATGGCATGGCATGGCATGGCATGGCATATGCAGGTGAGGGTAAGGAAGCAGCAGGTGAAGTAGGGGAAGTGTGAGCAGAGATCGAGTGAGTGAGTGGTAGGGCTCTGCTCTGCTGCTCTGCTGCTCTAGCTATGGGGAGTAGTAGTAGTAGTAGCTGTCTAGCTGTCTGTGGTTGGGGGAGTTATCTAGTAAACTGCCATAGCTATTAGCTACTACTAGCAGAGACGCTGGTAGGATGGCTAGAATAGAAACTGACTGGGCTGGAGAGATCCACCGGAAAGAGGAAGGAGAGAGAGATATTCGGGATTGAGAAGAGGGCTGGAAAGGAGTCTGGAGAATTGCAGTTATTTGCTGGGTGATGCTGCCCTACGTAGACTGCTACTGCTCTGCTACATGTACCTACATATAATCTGTCTGCGCATGCCACACACGCACTGGTAGAGTACGCACACTGGTAGGACGACAATAATAGAGTAGAGGAGATCAAGAAGATCACGAAGAGAACGAACAATTGAATATAACCCACCATACCCAGAATAGAGCACGAATAGTAGAGATCTCAGACACCTCTCTCCCTGCCTCCCACCCCCCCATCATCCATTCCCCATACACTCGGCTGCAGACACGGCACAAGGCTGCTCCTGCTGCTGCTGCTGCGGGACGAACGCTGTTGGTCTAAGAAAGGTTCACAGGAAAAGAGAGACGAGAGACAACAACCTGTTCGGGTGGTGCACCGTTCTCCTTTACAATAGGGTCTCCCTTTTTTTTTTTTTTTTTTTCCATTCCTCTCCCTCCTTCTTTTTTTTTTGTGTGTCCTCTTCTCTTTCTCTTCTTCTTATTCTTCTTCACTGACCTACCCTCTCTCTCCTCCTCCTCCCCCTTCAATCATCATCCCTTTCTCTTTTCCACACTCTCCCGAGTCGAGTTGTTGTGGTTCGTATTTTAATCTTTTTTTCTTTCTTCCCTTCCTTTCCTTTCCTTTCCCTCTTTACCCACTGCATTGCGTTTGTCGACGTAAGTGGTGGTTGACGTTGTGCCTTGCCTTTCTGGATTGGGATTGTGATAAATTTCAACGAAAACGTTTGGTTTGGATAAAACGACCACGCAGAAAGAGATATACCCCCATTCCATTTAACGCACCATCTACGAGGAGAAGAAGAAGAGCTCGCCGCAGCACGATTGATTACTCTTTACGAATTCGCAACCATCCCCATCATCATCATCAACAGCAGCAGCCTCATCAACAATACCAGCAGCAGCGGCTGATATATATTTTACTCTACGTCCACGGTCTATTCCACACGTGCATTCCCCCTGCTAGCTACCTGCTAGCTGTTGCTGCACAGGTTGTAGGTTTCCCCTGCTCATCCATCCTTGCGCCCCCCTGTCCTACTCCCAGCCCAGGGTCACTTTAAAATCCCCCCCACCACAACTCCTGCTCCTCCTCGCCCTCCCTTTTTTCACCCCCGCGCTGTTGTTGTTGCTGCTGCTGCTGGCTGTATTTAAAAAGAGTCCCGAGAACAAAACCAGCACTCTCTCTTTTCCCACTCCCACTTTCTCTCCCTCTCCCTCATATTCCCCCCCCCCCCCCCCCCCCCCCAAACGCCCTGGCAGCATCTGGGGCCCCTCGTGAACGCGTCAGACAGTCAGTACTGTAGTCAGTCCGTCAGTCAGATATACTAACTCAAACACCCATTTCCCGCAGTTCCAGGCCAGAACACCAAAATCTTCAATCACACCCCATCACCCACCCCACACACCTAACCCACCATGGCTGACCCCTCTCCCCCGGGCACCGCCAACGACCCCGTGAAAGAAACCCACCGCGAAGAGACTCTCGCCCCCAAAAAGCCCGGTCTCCTCGGCGCCGCCAAACGGCCTTCCTCCGCAACCACGGCCGCAGCAAGCTTCACCGTCGGTGGCGCCGTTGCACCCGCCACCAATGGATCACGCCGCTCCGCAACCGGCTCCACAACCGGCCTTGGGAAGCCTCTGAGGCCAGCCAGCTCGTCAAGCACTGCAGGGACCCCCCCGGGCTCCAAGAGGGTCTCCTCGGCAGCCGGTGGTGCACCAGCAACAACTACAGGAACCAAGACAACCCCAACCGTGAGAAGGACTGTCACGACCCCCGGAACACCCGAGAGGAGAAGCACTTCCAGCACCGGCGGGCCTACAAGCCCTGAGCGGAGGGGTTCAAGCCTTTCCGGAGTCGTTAGGAAGCCGGCTGCCCTCCCTGCAGGGCTGAGCGCACACAGGTCCCGCGGGTCACTCAGTACCCCCAGCGTCACTGGCCGCAGCTCAGTCAGCAGTCTCCGCGAGGCCGCGACCAGCCCTAGGCCACCCAGCGCGAATGGCAGACCCGAGAGCTCGGCCGGTGCAAGACCACCTTCGGTAAGGAAGTCGGCCACCGCCAACACAATCGCCGGAAAGCTTGTTTCCGGCGCCGCTAACCTGCGGGCGAGACCAAGTTCCTCGGGTCTCAGCTCCACTGCATTGGCTGAAAAGGAGAAGGAACTCGAGACGCTCCGGGCAAAGGTTGCCGAGCTGGAAGCGCAGAACAGGAACATTGTTGAGGAGCTTGTCAAGGCAAAGGAAGAGAGCGAGGCTGTATCACCCGAGAAGACGGCCGAAGCTGCGGCTGCCCTTGCGGAGCTGGATGCGGCGACGGAGAAGCTGACTAAGGCTCTTGAAGAGGTGGATGAGCTGCGAGCGAGGATTGTAAACCTTGAGGAGACGGTATGGTTTCACATGATTGGCATAATAATGATATATCGCGGTTCTGACAATTTTGTAGATTGCACAGCTTAGGGCAGAGAGCACTACTGCTCAGGAAAATAGCGCTAAGCTTGCGTCGGCGATGCAGTTGGAGGCTGACACTGTCAAGAACGCCTCCGAAGCCATTGGCGTCAAGCACAAGGAGGAGATTCAATCCCTGCATCACAAGTTTGAGGTCAAAGAGACCGAGCTCCTTCAGAAGATCGGCGGTCTTGAAAAGACCCTTGAAGGCTTGAAGAGTGAGCATGCTGAAGAGGTTACCAAACTCACCAAGCAGGTCGAAGAGGTAAGATATCAAAAGTGAGTGTAGATGAATTGCTACTAACATGGTCGCGACAGGCCGTTGAATCTGTGAAATCAAAGGCAGCCTCCGAAAGTGGTGATCTTCAGCAAGCTCTTGATGCCCAGAAGGAAGCCCACACCAAAGCTCTTGAGGCTCTTACAATTGCTCTTGCAGCTGAGAAGGCCGCTTCCGCACAGGGCGCGGCAGACTCCGAGAGCATCATGAGGAAGCACAATGAGGAGCTCGCGGCTTTGAAGAAGAGCCTCGAGGAATCAGACGATGCCTTCATGCAGGCTCAGGAGAAGGCCAACGAGGCACTCGAAGCCCGCGAACGCGAGGTTGATGGCCTTAACAGCGTCGTCAAGGCTCTTCAGGGCGAAATCGAGAAGCTTGCAAGTGATAAGGCGACCGAGCTGCAGGAGAAGATCAAGGAGCTTAACGAGCAACATGAAGCCCGCATCAAGGAAGCTCACGCTAAGGCTGAGAAGATTGCCGAGGAGGCGAACGCCAAGATCGAGGCTCTGACTAAGGAGCATCAGGCACAGCTTGAAGCCGGTTCCGGCGCTCTAGCTGCCCAGCTTTCTGAGGCCAAGACTGCCGCTGAGGCCAGGGAGCAGGAGCTTCTGGAGCAGATTGAAGCCGCTCAGCAGGAGTCTGCTGAAGCCATCGAGGCCGCCCAGCAGACTGAAAAGGAACTCCTCGAAAAGGTCGAGGCTGCTCAAAAGCAATCCGCCGAAGCCATTGAGGCTGCCGAGAGGAATGAAAAGGGGCTTCTCGAGAAGATTGAGATCGCTCAGAAGGAATCTGCTGTAGCAATCGAGGCAGCTCAGACGGAAGCAGCAGAGAAGGTCGAAATCGTCAAGAAGGAGAGCGAGAACCTGAAGAAAGAGTATGAGGAGAAGCTTGTAGAGCTCCAGAACCAGATTACCGGGTCCGCAGACGAGAAAGATAAGGAGTGGCAGAGCAAGATTGAGCAGCTCAAGAGCGTTCATGAAGAGCAAATCAATGCGCTTACAGTCAAGCTTGAGGCGTCTCAGAAGGAAACCGAAGAGTTGTTGGCAACCGTCGAGACAGTTAAGCAGGAGGCCAACCAACGCCTCGAAGCGGAAATCGAGAGGGGCCAATCTGAGTCCAATATCTTGAAGAAGACCCTCGACACATTGAACAGCGACCTCACGGTTTGTTCTCTCAATATAGTAACGTATGATATTTATTAGATGCTGACAGCCCCCACAGGACAAGGAAGAACAGCTCGCAAAGTTCAAGACCGATCTTGAAAAGAACGTCGAGAACCTGGCTGCAAAGGCCGCGGTATGGATCTCGGTTGTTTCTCTACGTTTTCTGGGCAGGATTGTTTACGATCATTACAGGAAATCGCCGAGCTCCAAGAGAAGCATGTCGCTACTATTGAATCTCTTAACGCCGAGCATGCAACTGAAATCGACACTCTTAAGAAGTCGTACGCTGCTGGGAGTGAGGAGAAATATGCTACTCTTAATGCCAAGTATGATGAACTAGTCAAGGAACACGCAGCCGCGACCGAGGACCACCAGACCGAGCTGGAGACTATGATTGCGGAGAACAAAACCGAGATCGAGAGGCTTACGGAGGAGCTCAAGAATTCCGAAGAGGAGTCGCTTATACAACTTGAGGAGAGCCACGCCGAAGTTGTCGCCCACCTCGAGGGGGAGATTGCTGATCTGGAGAAGGCAAAGTCAGAGCTCCAGGCTGCTCTTGAGGCCGCGCCGGCTCAGGATGATCTCGAGAAGCTCAAGGCTGAGTTTGCCGAGGAGAAGGGAGAGTCTGTGGAGCAAATCCAGAAGCTTAAGGAATCTCTCGACGCTCAAATCACAGCGAAGGTGGCCCTGGAAGAGGACCTCGAGAAGTCAAAGGCCGATAAAGAGGAACTCGCCAAACAGCTCGCCAGCATCCAGGAGGATATTGACGCATTTAAGGCTGGCAAGGAGGCTCTCCAAACTAATGCCGATGACTTGCAGTCTCAACTCAAGGAGCTTACCGAGAGGTCCACCGCTGATGTCGAATCGTTCAAGAAGCAGATCGAAGAGATGCACGAGCGTGCCAACAATGATGCCACAACTCTTGAGCAAATCTACACTGCACAGATCAACGACCTTGAGTCTAGGGTAAGTAGTTTGAAGGAGAAGCTTGCTGCCGCTGAGGCAGGAAACAAGGATGTCGGTTCAAGTCTCCAGGAGCTCGAGAATGCCAAGAAAGAGAAGGAAGCGGCATTTGCTCAAGCTGTCAAGGAGCTTGAAGGGAAGGAGGCGGTTATTGCCGCCATTGAGAAGGAGTTGGAAGCCCTTAAGGCCGAGAAGGAGGATGCCGTTAACGCTGCTAATGCTGAAAAGGAGGCTATTAAACTAGATTCAGTTGCCGCTCTTGAGGCCGTTGAGAAGAAGCTTGAGTCAACCAAGACTGAGCTCGAAACTGCTTTGGCTGATGTTGCTAAGGAAATGGTTTCCCTCCAGGCTATTGTTCAGGAGAAGGAGACCGCTCTCGAGAGTGTTGCTAGGCATAACGCAGAACTTGATCTCGCCCTTGAAACCGCTACTAAGCAGAATCTTGAGCTTAAAGGTGACCTCCAGACCTTCAACGAGAAGCTTGCACTCGCAGCTGAGGACAAGGAAGCCGCTCTTGCAAAGGCTCTCAAGGAGGCACAGGAGAAGGCAGCTGCTCTTGAAAAGGCCGAGGAACTTGAGATGTCATTGAAGGAGAAATTGGCCCTTGCCGAAGCTCTTGTAAGCGAGAAGGAAGCCGCCATTGTCAACATCACCAAGGAAGCTACCGCCCGGCGCAGCGTTCTTGAAGCCGAACTCGCTGAGAAGGAACTTGCATTGAAGTCGAAGGAAGAGGTGAGCACAGAAGATGAACCCGATCTGATGGAAGACGAATCGGGCGCCGAGGATAGCGCCGAAGAATATATGGAAGTTAAGCATATCTCTGTTACAGGAATTGTCAGCCACCCACCTCCCCGCTGATGTGAGTCTTTGTCGGGAACTTCGAGAGAGTATTGAGGCTAAAGGTTTATAGATAACCGGGCTCCGCGCGCAACTGAACGAACTCGAAAACGAGAATGAGGACCTCAGGAGGGAAACGAACAGGTGTGTATATCATTCGGCGCCCCATTTATTGTGCATTTTTTGCGATTAGTGTACCCCCCCGTCCCTCCCCTACTCCTCATGCATGCAGAGATGCGAAGCGGGGTATGTTTAGAATGTTTTTCTTACGGCGTCATGTTGTGCTGATCAAGTTCTCATGGTAAACGTTGGGGGTGGTTCTTACAGAGTCCTCAAATCGATCGAAAACCTTCCGCTCGAACGTCGACCGGCGACAGCCGTCCCAAGATTGGAGATCGTCGAGACAGTATAGATTGAAGCCAGGCCCATAAAGGGGGCTTGAGAGGAGAACCAGGGGTTCTTCGTCTCCGTGAGGTTGGAAAATTAAAGGTTTTCCGGTTTATTTTCTTCGTAATGTTCGTGCTGGGATTGATGCTATTTTCCCTTTTTACTTCACATTTCTGGAGCGAAGTATAGCTTTTTTTTTTACTTCCCTTTTTTTTTCCTTTTTTTTTTACGATTTTCTTAATCTTGCGACCTCACCCCTCATCCTTTCACGACTTTTTTCTTTCACGGAGGGGGAAAACCTCCGCTACTTTTTTTCTAGTATCTATTTTCTTGGTGTAATTACGATTTTCCTTAGTTTTTCCCTACGTTTTTTTCTCTCTCAATTAGCTGTGGAGTCAAAAAAAATCTGTAAGTTGGATGTTAGAAGAAGAAACGACGTCAGTAATGTTTAGGAGTTGAATTCACGCTTGGCGGCTTTTTATGAGTTGTACTTGGATGTGCTAGGTTGCATTGAATACCACAGCCCGGTTAGCTCAGTGGTAGAGCGTGTGGCTTTTACGGGGTTAAATCCGGAAAAGCATACCTCAATGTCGCGGGTTCGACCCCCGCATCGGGCTCTCATCAAAACTTTTTTCGTTTCCATCATATGGCGGATTTGAAGAAAGTGTAACAACTTTTTTAGGTTCTGCTGTTGTATGTAGAGTACAACATTGTCGGGTTAAATGCGCCGTGTCATATCGAATTTCCGGATGTCCACCGCGGTGGTAGACAGTTGTGCTTCTCAACTTTCTCGTATTCCTCGCCTTCCTCGGATTCTTCATATCTGGTTTCGGGCCATGCATCCTTATGTTGGTCCTGAAGTCTGAACAATTGCCTTGCCCTGACACAAACCAAAACAGCCATCCAACCCATCCTTGCAATAACCGTGTTTCTACCAGCTCATTGATTGGCCCCTCCAGTTTCTCTCTCTAACCGTTGACGAACGCCCCCAACCAACTACTTTAAACAAACTCTTAATTTTTGAGTATGCGGCACATACATAACCTGGGGGAGGAAACATATATATTACCACCCCCTCTTTTTTTTCCGTTTCGAGGGGAAACTGGGGATGGAGGGGAAGAATGAGGGTTTGATTTCTCGGTTCCTGGCGGGTGCTGTGCGATCGACGACGATTTGATGGTGCTCCCTCCCGTTTCCCCGGGGGTACAGTGGTGGTACGAGTGGTACGAGTGAGCGTTTGTGGTTGAAGACGGGTACTGCTGGAGCCGGGGGAGGGAACTGGAGTAGGTACATGTATGTACATGTACCTACTCTATGTATGTACCTAGACGTCAGACTGCTGCTGCTGCTATTGAATCCAGAGAGCTTGCCGTCATAGCAATATCATTATCACGAAGAGTGAGGTGAGTCTGTAGATAAGAGTAGTAGTAGGTTATCTACAATAGCCATACGTGCATTAGCAGCGCTAGGTGAAGTAGCGAAGAGCAGCCAAAGGAAAGCTGGCTGGCGGTGACGTAACTTGCAGCGGGCGGGCTAGAGAGGACAGCTTAGTAGGGTAGTGTCGGTATCGGAGGCTTGTGTGCGGCAGATCCCGTGGCCCGGGGGGGGGGGGGGGGGGTTGTCGCAATACAGCGCAAGCTTGCTATAACGGTACCTTCTATAAGGGTAATCCCTCTATAACGGTAGCACTTCTTGGTCCTTTTTGCCCGGATTTCAGCACAATCACCTCTTATATAAGGGTAATCTCTCTATAACGGTACCAAATTCCGGTCCCGAGCGTACCGTTATAGCAAGCTTTCGCTGTAACAGGAAGAGGAGGAGGAGGACGGAGAGACAATCATGTTGTATCACTCGTGCTGTGTTCTGTGGGCGTTTTGATGGCTCGGAGACGGATGAGATGGGGTGGACAGCGATAGTCAGACAGACATACACACTGACAGATAGGTGGCTTTTGCTTTGGAGACACCTACTCTATATGCCTAAGTAAATTACCATGTTCTCCCTCTCTCACCCCCATCTCTCACTCACCCACTCCCCCGTCAGTACATCATCAGGCAGATACACTGCGTCCTTGGCCCACCTAAGATGCCCGTCTAACTCTACTGCTGCTGCATGCAACCAACTCACCATAAGTCTGGTCCAGGAGAATGCAGCCCCGCGCCCTGACCATACTCTACATATTCTGCGCGGGAAACAGCTTATTTGCTTTTCTGCCTGCTTGCTTGCTCGGAGGTCATACTGCATCACTCGATCGATCGATCCGTACCTACATGATACCCTCCCTAGGGTCCTCCTCCCCCATGTCCCCCGAGTCTTAAAGTAGATATCCCGACCTTTTTTTTTTTTTTTTTTGCACATGTATCAGGTAGAGTACTTAACAGCTTAATTACCGTCGACCACCGCTTCAGGATCAGCGCTACAAATGTTTGGATCAATCAAGCTCCAACGCCTATACTCTAGAGTGGGGGGAAGGTGTTGGAGATGTTTCATTCACAGTGTGTAGAGTGCTCTATGGATGCCTACAGGTATGTATGTAGGTACCAACGGACCGGGCAGCAACAGGGGATGGATGAAGAGTGCAACATTCGGGAGGGTGGGTATATGGAGATAATATATACACAAGTAACGGTTTCAGATCATCCGTGACCTAAATAGGTCCTATTGGGGGTCGACAAAGGCAAAAAGGTAAGGCAACCCGTTTCAGTTTCATTCTTTTCTTTCTTGTTTATACTCAAGACCAGGAATGAAGGGAATCATATCCAATTGGAGCCCTCATGCACATAAAAAAAGGACACAAAAGCAGAAGTGACAAAACCAATGCGCATAATCCACATACAAGAAACACCCCATACAAAAAAACACAAAAAGCACATAAATCAATACATAAATACGTTAAATATCAGATCCCAAAGATTCCCCCACACGAAATAAAAAAGAGAGTGTGTTGAAGGAAGTATAGAAAAGCATAAACTGAAAGCCATGCGCTTGATATACATGCAACGTTCCCACCCTCGCGGAAAAGATTCATGACAACTATGTGCTCATGTATAACTTTCCCTCCAAAATATCAATATCCAACAGAAAAGAACCATTCAAAATAAAACTCCTAACAAATGGAAAACGCGCAGTCGAAAGAAAAATAAGGGATTGGATGTTGTTATTTCATAAGGACAAACCGATCCCTCTATTAATCCTTCATTCCCAATAATTTGTCCATATTTCCGGAGTGATGCAGAAAAAAAAAGAAAGAGAAAAAGAACCGTTAAATAGAAAAATAAAACCCACTCCCAAACGACCAAAAAATACCTACCCAGAATCAAATTCAGGCTCAATGAAAGTCTATCGATTGGACCCCGACTTTCGTCAAGACGTCCCGAACATCGCTTTCTGCTACTACGACTCCAGTCTCCGAACACTTTGCTTTGTTCCTGAGCTCAGAACATAAGGTATCCATATCTAACTCCCCATTGGCAAATTTCGGGTGAGCGCTGATGTGGTCCCTACCGTCGTCCCTTTGAGTAAGTCTTAGCTAACAACGACGTTTTTTTTGAGGGAAAAATGAGGAACATACCATATTTTGTTACAACTTAGCATCTTCTTTGGATCTTCGGCAGGGACGACCTCATCCTCATCGTCATCATTGTCCCCTCCGTTTTCGGCACGGTCGGCCTCCGCTACCAGATCTTTCTTCAGGGCGAACGGTGACTCGATGCCTTCGAAGCTGGTAGTCATCGGGAACGCATCCTCGAAGAAGCTCATGTTGATTCCGGCATTGATTTCATTGATGGGGTCTCGGTAGTCGTTGAATAGTACCGGATCGAAATTGCCGCCATTCTGTTGAGTTAGCCAATCCAGTGAGGTTGGTGTGGGTGCGCTGGAATTGTTGTTGAGCTGGACCGCCTTCGGGATAGGGTTGTGAGGGTTCCCGCATGCCATTCCTAGTTTCTCGCAGAAGGTAATTTCAGTTTCGCCGTCTAAAGGCCCGCTCTTGCAGATGTAGCGATCCCCGTTTGGAGCGATTGATATCGTACCGTCCTCGGTTGAATTATTTTGCTGATCATTGGATCCATTCAAATTCATTGGTTCAGGGCTTGTTCCACAAGATGAACCAGGCCCATGCTGTGATACTGATGACGCCGAAGGTGATGAGGTAAAATCCCTACTACCACCGTTCAGACGAGGTGTATTCTGTACACTCGCAGAGCCTCCACTACTATCGTTGCTCAGGCCATAATCTATTATTGCGCCTTTATTAGTTGGGCCGTCAATAACAGATCTGAGAATATGTATATGAAATGCACTAGGCTCCGAGAAGAAAAGTGGAAACTCACTTGCGAAAATGTCATCGTTTATCGCATTGGTTGATTTGTTCTTATCTTCGATCTTAGGAGAAGCACTGGCACCCGTCCCCGCACTCATCCTTTCGAGTAAAGTACCAGGTCCCACCTTCACGCCATCTCCGCTACCCTGACGCCCGAAAGGAGAACCGATACCACCACCAAACATAGGAAATTCGAACTGGAAGCCACCTGTACTTGCACTTTTCCCAAACAAACCTGGGGCACTTAAAGTTGGTGTCTTTTGTGCTTGATGTAATCGTCGCCGATAATCCTTTAATTCCACCTGCAGTCTATCCACTTGGGCTCGAAGAAGGCTATTCTCGTGGTTTGCAGACTCTGACGCCTTCTCCAAATCCGTCACTTTCTGTTCGAGATCCTTCAAATGCTTCTCCTTACGTTCCCGGAAAGCCCTTTGAGCGGCTCGATTCTGCGCCTTGCGTTTCGACGTAGGTTCTGACGTAAGGGGCTTGCGTCCAGGCCTTTTGGCAGTTGTTCCATCTGATTCTGGCAATAAACTCGACGGTTAGTTGAGTTGCTCAACACCCATCTTATGAACTACTTAGACGCTCGTGGCTCTTGGCCGAAGAAAAATGATCTGACGGGCAAGCCCTCTGGTAGGAAAAAGAAAATGAAGCGTCACTGAGAAAGAAAGCAAATTGTGAAGAGCGATGCAATTGTGAACAGGAAACAGTTGGGTAAATTTGGTATATATATATATTTAAGAAATGTAATTTGTACAATATAGAAAGATGGGTTTTTGTGTAAGCAGGAAGAAGGGATGAACCCACCTCTCCTCTTTGGCTCTGCATCGTGTGGATCAGAGCTCGGGCTCCCATCATCATTTGACGGTGGGCTTTTCCTTTTGTCATTGTCCTGTGACATAGAGCCTGGGGTATCCGAATAAGAAGTTCCGTTCATACTGTTATCCACGCCATCAAGACCTGTTTCGAAGTCCCAAGGCCCATCAGCGTCCCAATCAGGATAATCTAGGTCCCCACCCATCAGTGGGGTATCATCCGCAAAGCTACCGTTTAGGGCAGCTGTTGGTGGCGGAGTGCCGTTTCCATATTGTGAGCCCATTGAATCTGGGGTACCGTTTTGTGAATTGTGCTTTAGGGACTGGGTGACCTGATTAACAGAAGGACTTGTGAACAAGCGTGAGTCAGAGTTTGATTGAAGGGCGCGAAGCAGGAGATCCTGTTGATCGGGATCGAGGTAGAGGCCGTCTGATGATGTTGTGGTCATATCCTCTCGTCAAGTAGTTTGAGATGAGGTTTCTGCTATGGGAAATATTTAAATATTTGCAAGACGATCAACTCAATATGTTGAGACGAATGAAATGTACGGCAGAGGCCGGGCGGGTTGTAGTCCGACAAACACAGCAAGTGCTGCGAAGGATAGGCGCGAAAAACAACTAGTTAGTGCGCTAGAGATAGAGAAACAATCGAATTTTTGTGCCCTCTACGAGGTCTCGAGTAGCTTCACGTTGTTGTCGAGGATTGTCTCGAGTACTTGGTGATGAACCGAAATTGGGCTGTGTAAGAAGAGTTGGTCGAGGCAAGAAATGGGTAAGTCTAGGAAGTTATGGACGGGTGAATGGGTATGCAATAAGGTCTAGACGTAAGACAAGGGCTCGGGGCTAGCAATAAAAGCGCCTAGACTTTGGTGACCAAGAAGGAAGATATGTGAAGTGAAGGAGAGATGGAGATGGGGGAGGGTATGTGATGGGTAAAAGGGGGGGGGGGGGGGGGGGGGGGGGGTGGCGGTTAGTAAGTGAATGGGCAGAAGAATCAGTGAGTCGGAAGGAAAGAAGATTTGGGGAGATTTGGGGAGAGAGGGGAAAGTGTGTGTTTCTGTACTGAAAACGGGTGATGGGGCGATCTACGGTGGAAGTGATCACTGCGAGATGCAAGAGTAGAAAAGGCCTGGAAGAGGTCTGGAAGGATACAAAGGTTTGGTGGTGGTGGGGAAGACCTTCTTACAGTATGAGGTGAGCGTATTCTAACACTAATATTGTATCTAGGCCGCCTTGGTGGAAGACGGCGAAGAGAGCGGCGACGGCGGATGTAGACGGAACCTGATGGGGTCCAATCCTATGCAGATGTGGGCTGCCGATTCCTGCTAACTTAATGGGACACACTACAAAGCTGCAGTAGTGGTACTGTAACTGAAGAAACAACGGCCCTTTTTGCTTGCTGTGGGAAAACTAATAGGAACACCAAAGAGCAAGAGCGTTGACGGGGGAGTAGGTACATGTCCTTCACGTCCAATTGTGCCTGTGTGAGTGAGGAAGCTGCAAGCAAGTGCACAGATACTAGAGTACATACAGTACTACCTACCTCTACTCTATTGTCGTGCATGCATCTGTAGAGTAGGTATCTACTCTACAATTCAAAAGCTCGGCTCAAGTACAAACTTCCAGAATCACAACACAGAATCAGGCGCAGTTCAAATACCAATGCTTTCCCTCTTCTATGGGAGGACAGAAAATCTACGGACTGGACACTCTACCTCTTCACCTTTCTATCCACTTCTTTGTCCTCATACCCCCGAGGGCTTACAAATTCATCATGCCCAGCAATGCCAGGGGTGTGGTGGGGTACACATCTGCAAGGATGAGACGGTCGATATTGTCTCATTGGTGGGTCACTGCAATCTACTCTAACGGATTTAAGAGCTTCTTCCCTATTCACAGGCCTGAAAACCCTCTATTTAATTGCAAGACGTTTCCGGGCTGGGTCTGCACATACCACCAAAATCCGGTACTTATGCAAGTTCTTGGTTTATGCAGAGCCGGAGTTTTGAAACGTCATAACACACTGAAGTTTGGAACAGGTCCCGCGATTCTGCCTCCCAGATCTATGCATAAAACAGTCATATTCCAGAAAACTCCTTTTTGGCACTTTTGGCGAAGAACCAAACTCTCCTCCCCATGTGCACTGCAGATTCCAGCTTGTTATCTCCATCTTATTTGACATCTTCGATAGTACTGTTTTCGACATCTCGGAACTTTCCACTGGTTTTTCATGCTGCTTACTTTGCATACAGGTAGATGCATTAGCCAGTGTCCGTGCTGGAAGCACATCAGCCTGCGTGAGCTATGCCAAAAATTTATCAGGAGCGCCTTCAATTGTTTCAACCCCAGTTTCCTCTTGCAGTAGTCTCACATAAAGTTCCATCAACGGTTCAACGACAATTAAATTGAGAACAAAAAAAATCCTCGAAAACGAACAAAAATACTGGATCATGGAAGCTATACCTACTCCTACAAGCAACCTATATATACTTGAGATGCATATCTGCTTTTAAGTACGGTTTACTTTAATCTGTCCTGAGCAGACAGCCCATCCTCGCGCCGACCTACTGTTTATCGAGTAACGGGGAAATCTTCAGGTTATTTGAGGCCTTCCATTTCGAATGCTCAAAATCCAACTGCCGCATCATTTTGCTAGGGACTATGTTCCCTGAAATTGCTACAAAATCCCCGATCATAGGGATGTACCCTAGAACCAACTTAATCCCTTCAGTTCTTTCCACCAGATTCCCAATCGCCTGTTTTTGGTGGTCGGCTATCTAGGGAGGTCGGCTATCTAGGGAGGTCGGCGTCCCTTCGATCGTACTAAGCCCAAAAGATGTCTTTGGTGATCGAGAAGCGGCGCAAATTAAGGCTAAGGCCGCCGGGCCGATCCTGAAAGGAGAAAATGAGCCCGCAGTACATACCTACAATATTCACAGTGCAACCACTCATGTTTACCCATGAAGTGGATATATTTGATATACAAGGCAAAAAGATAAACACACATCGAAGCGATGAAGTCGTCAAACGATATTCTCGTGGTCAATTAAGCCAATTTTTCCCTTATACTTTGCGTCACTGCAAAATCAGAGTCTTATAATACGTGGAGTAACTTTACTACGAAACCCTGAGACTGCGTTCATAGTGTACCCCCTCGCATGGGGGCATAGCACGAATACGAGTCAGTTAGCCCCAGGAGATTTCTTCGACGCAGTGCATACACGCAAAGCACATACATACTCTACTTTCGAAGATACTACATGTAGTATGTGCGGATCTGTTTCGGGGGAATTCCTCGGTTCGCCCAAAATAAGTTCTTACGCATCCAACCCCCCGGTAAAGTAAAGATTTCCTATTGGGGAATTATATCCCATACTATTTTTCCGTACCTGCTCTACTGGCAACTAGCCTCGTAGAATTCAATTCCAAGATCAACTGTTTCAAATGAAGTGTTATGGGGAGGGAAAAGTCTTGTGGCGCTCCTAGTGGAATATGTTCTTGGCTTCAGAATTCCAACAGCCATGCGTACATGGCCTCCGCCTAGATATCCCTCGCCCCCCCCCCCCCCCCTCTCTAGGGTAGAAAAAAACTACAACATGGACACAGAGGGATTGAATAACCACAACTCTCAAGGCCCATCTATGAGGGCAATTTATGATAGGTCCTGCCCGGAGTCGAACCGGGATTACAAGAATCAGAATCTTGGGTGCTAACCATTACACTACAGAACCGTTGATATGAAGCCTATTCCGTTTATATAAAATGTTTTCGGCGATAACTGAATGGCCCAATCCTTTTGGTTTTAAGAGCCATAAGTGGCTTAAGGTCATTGATCGGGTTGTTACCTTTTTACTGTGTTCAACCACAAACATGCCTAGTCTTATGATACGCTTGGTGCGTATATACCTTTGCTGCATTAAGGCATGATCAGTGCAATTTTATATCGATTGTACCAAGCTCGATATATCAAGAAAGGTATTGCCAAGCGGCTAAGATGACGAGTGATATATCATGACCACCATGTCATACTTGATACAGTATAGGAGCAAAAAGCCAAAAGGATTCGGTTTAGGGTGATTTCTTAGCAAGAAGGTCTCGAAAGTATCAGATTACTAGTCAAACAAAAATCTTGAAAGTAACTTGTCAAAACGATCACTAATCCCATATTTACCGTTATGTACTCAACCCACGCGTACGGTAGGACCCATGGAACAGGATGCAAAGGACTCACCGAATCTCAGTATCATTTCCTCTTAGCTCAAGCACGACATGGCCCCGGCTCAGGAATATCCCCGACGGTATAATAGTATGCCCCGTCGGAGATATTGAATAGATAAGATATGTTATTATTGACAACCTGTTTACTGTTTATTAACCACATGTAGAGATGACAGTGACTCTTAGATGTGCCAAATGTGCGCACATTGATGACTGCAACTGTTTCCCAGATTAGAAATCACGACCGAGAAATTGTTGGTATTTACCATAAGTAGCTCATGTATCCATGGAGAAGTTTAACACATATTCCAATCGTACAATGGAAAGCGAGTATGCTCATTCATGAGAGCATATGAATGAGCTATCGTCTACTTTGTGACTATTTAGAACCCTATCTATAGTTCTGAATAGCTACGAGGCCTTAAGGATCGACTCGGTGACTTTATTGAGACTTTTATACGCCAAGTAAGTAATCATATACTACTATCAATACCGCTGCCTACACCCGGAAGCAATTTCCACCCACAAAAATCATATCTCACCAGTTTTGCTATAGAGCCCACGACCGCACTAAACATAATGGATATCCGATATCGGTTGAAACTTCTCGAATAGAGATAAGAGGGGCAGTTTCAGGTCGTTTATAGATCTTGCTGCGCTGACATGGTTGGGTTAGATCTGGACAGTTATGGGTGATACAACTTGAGCCAACAAAGGCATTAGCGCGGTTACCCTCCTAGCGCCAAGAACACAACATTTTGGTGAAGCTTTCTTGATTCGGTTATTATCGCCATCACCACCATCACCAGCTTGAACCTCATCACAGTCTTGCAAGACCTGAAGAACCTGCATCCTCTTACTGCGATCCCGGTCTCTTTCTTTCGCTACCAAATTATCAGTCTAAGGAATTCGAAAAGGCTTAGTTTTTTTCACATCAGCCACAGCAAACCCCCACACCATAATCATGACATCAAGCGCTACAGAACTTAAGGAATATAAACTCCAGGTTGGTCTTCTCTTTCTCCCCATCCTCTTCACTGTTCGTCACAAAATCTCTAACTCTTGTCTTGTAGCTTGAATCTGTCCAAGCTGCCCTCAAGGCCGATCCTGACAATGCGGAACTCTCCGACCTTGTAGGTGAATTGGAGGGGATGGTAAATGCCCTTGCAGAGCAACTCGCCGAAGAACAAGCCCCCGCGCCGTCTGCTTACCCATCCTCTCCATACGGTAGTACCAACAATAGTAGCAGAAAGGACACGCCTGCAACTCCTGTTGAAGGGGGTGCGGGCTCGGGAAGTAGTATCTATGCAGTTGGTGATAACGTTCTGGCGCGATGGACGAGCGGTGATAACCAGCTATATCCAGCCAGGATTACGTCCGTGATGGGATCTAAACAGAATCCCGTTTACATCGTCAAATTTACGCAGTACAATGCCACGGAGACGCTTCACCCTCAGCACATCAAACCGGCCAATAACGCGAATAAAAAACGCAAACTCGAGAGCGAACCCGCAAGCAACGCGTCAACAACGCCCATTTCGACATCAAACGGCGCTATCATCTCGCAACCAGCAACGATAAATACAGAGCTTGCGGAGGCTAATAAGAGAAAGTCGACCGAAACGCTTGATGGTCCGACTAAGCCAGCAAAGGTCGGAAGGAAAATTGCACAGAACAAAGTCTTGGAGGATGGCAAGAAAAAATGGCAGAATTTTGCTCAAAAGGGGGTAAAGGGGAAGGTAGGAAAGGCGAAAAAGATTGGCGAAAGCAGCATGTTTAGGACCCCTGATGGAGTACACGGACGAGGTACATACGATTCCGATTGACACTATTCTCCCCCGGCAGACATTTGTTGAACTCTTGGCTAATATTTGGCGTTTTATAGTTGGTTTTACGGGATCTGGTCAACCCATGCGAAAAGATGCTACAAGAGGCAAACATATCTACCAGCAGGGCGAAGAAGAAGAGTAGCTAGAAGAGAGGTTCAGGGAGTATATTCGTGATGCTGCAGATTTCTCCGCATACCATATTCGAGCTGACACCTACTTTTTGATCGCTAATCATCTAATCCACAACACTATTGTCCACGCTCCGCCCATCTTACCAATCACGGCGGTAATCAGTTTGTATAGTTCTTCAAAGATCTCTCTTTTCTTCATTGCCCTCTGTACTCCTTGTTTCTTCTTTTCTCTGCATTTTTCTTTATGGTTGAATTGTTGCTAAGACGGGTTTCGGGAACTTTCAGTTTTTTGTTTCATATGGAATAATGGTGGGAGTTTTTACGAGAGAAAAATGAATATTTTACACCCATGGAATAACTTTGAAAAAAGAAAAGAGAAAGAAAGAAAAAAAACTCAATAACTTCCCCTCCCCTTCCCCCTTATCTTTTTACCTTTGCACAATTCTGAACAATTGCTAAGCTTTGAGTGGGAGCGACGAGTGGCGGGAGACAAGAAAGGAAAATAAATATCGATATTTTCGATCAGATCAACGGTTCGATCTGGCTATGCCCTCAAGCAGCTCATTCCGAATGGTTGGTTGGTTTTTTTTCCTTCCCTCCGTGATGTTCGTTATTTACTGGCCATTTAAAATTCTAGCATCGGGTTTTTGATTTATGGCCAGTTCAACGAATTGGGTGATAACTGAACGATTTGACCCTAGTGAGCAATGCTTGTCTCCTCGTAGGTATCTTGATATGCGTATGAGGGATTGTCAGCCGCCCCCTCTCTTTTACCACCTCAACTGGGCTGCAGTGTTAGTTAGATTAAGGTTTCCGGTAGAATAGAAATGAAGATATCACAATCCAAATGGCAACCCCATATTTTTATTGCAATAAACCATTGGTTCGGGGCAGATTTTTCCGACGACGCGCGGCTCGACTCGCCGGGTGATCCTGGGTGATATCTGCCAATTCTGTTTACACTGTATTTTCTGAACAGCTAACCGCCATGCGACTGCATTTGGACTCGGGTATCCGGTTCACGTCGATTGTGTACAAGCTGTAAGGGATGTCAAAGACCAAACTGTCGGGATTTTGCTATGACAGAATACTACCAGTACAGAGAGGGTCACATTTAACACCATTACATTACTGCACATTAAGATACGAGGTCTGCATGGTTCTGGAGATTTATGTCAGTAAACTTTGGCTTTTAAAAGAGCATCGACTTTAGCCCCAACTGTTATTACCGCAACGCCTTCCCAAGTGACAAATTTATCCATATGCGAGTGATGGGTTATGAATCTATATAAACTCCCACCGTTGCAATTAATCTTCCGCTGGTTCTTCCCAGTCTTGATCAACATCTTTTATCTGAGGTTCCTGAACCTCAGACCAACCCAGACAGTCGTCGATATAGCTGAGTGTAGCTTGAACGCTGTCTTCATTCTGACTCTCCAATTGAAGAAACTGGACCATTGAGAAGTCATCAATCAAGCTCACCACACCTATTCCCCGTTAGTGATGTGTTGATTAAAATGAAATTGAAGGAAGAGAAAGATTGGAATACATTCATTCAACCTGTGAAATTTTGGATTCGTCTCCGCATGAATATCCGTGGCCAAGATGGACGGATCCGGGTCCAAAAATCTTTTAAGCTCCCTCTTGCTGACCTGGTTCCTCACAAGGTCCATCTTCGAGAGAATGTTGATGTGAGGAATTTCCAGCATGATCATGCAACTCATCGCACTGAGCGTCCCAGCAAAAAACTTTGTCTTATCGATGACGAATGTGGACTCAAGGAGATACGCCGCGCAGAGGTTGAAAGACATGTGACCTGTGAGATGCTTGGCCAGGTTCGGCAGGATGGGGACGTGCGTGTAGAGTTCTATTTGGCCGGGACAGTCGAATATTGTGAGACTTTCTTCGCCGGTTTCACCGAGCTCTGATTCTAGCCAGTCGAGATTGTCCATGAGGAATCTGAAATGGTCGGTGCGGGTTAGAGAAGGGGCAAAAATAAGTTAAAATAATCTTTTGTAAAAGGGAGTGAAAGCTCGGGAGGGGACATACTCAAAACAGGCCATCAAGCCGCCGTTGGGACCAAGTCCCATCTCGTCCATTACATCCTCAAGAGATATAAGATCTTTGATGTCGACATCGGGTTCGTATTCAAACTCTTCAGCTGCGGGGTCCAAGTTGACGTAGATACCTGCAGAAAAGCGTTCGGATATTAGGGAATTGGGTTCCAATGGAAGCTTTAAAAGGCAAACATACATGACCGCTTGATGTTCTTGATGTGGGCGATAAGTGCAGCACAGAAAGTGGACTGCCGATAATGTTAGTTTCCCTATAAGATCTGCGGAAAGTACGAAAGAATACTATATACCTTTCCGCACCCAGCAGGGCCGATTACAAGGACTCCGTACCGACTCATAATGGGAATGACAGTTGTGGTTGGTTAATTCAAGCAATGGGTGGTCGCGGGGTTCCAGATTTGGCTTTAACTAAGTGTTGCGGCTCAAAATATTACAGTCCGATTTGAAATCATGACGGCGGCGATCACAGCTTGAATTTCTAACTTCAACCTCCAGCAAAGGTTCTGAAATGGCTCCCCCAACATCAACAACTCTGATTTCTCCTGCAGAGCTCTCATATCTTCGGTCCTCTCTTGCGCTTAATCCGCCTATTCGACCTGATGCGCGCTCACCAACACAGTTTCGCCCGCTAGTGGCAGAAATCGACATTCTTCCATCCACTAATGGCTCGGCGCGAATGATTTGGGGGGATGGGGGTGAATGCGTTGTCGGGGTCAAGGTCGAGGTTGAGCCCACGGAGCTCACTACAGACGGAAAGAGGAAGAATTGGGTCGAGATTGGCGTAGAGGTTCAAGGACAGAGGGACGATGATCCTTTGGGAGTGTTCTTGGGCATGACAGTTACAGAGAGTTTACTTACGCCCTCTTCTACGCTCACGGAGAGGTTGGCCATTACTAGCAGATTCCACTGGAAGATGTACATTGATGTTTGTCTTCTAATCCTGCGCCTTTTCTGTTTATATATATATATATATATGTTCTGGGTATTTACTGATTGAGTTTTGTGCGCAGATCCTGTTAATAACACCACCTCTTTCGCATCCAGGAACACTACTATCTCTTTCTACAAATCTCGCTCTTCGTTCAACCAGACTTCCGCGACTGACCTCAGAGGCGGATGAAGATCCTATATTTGACGATGATTGGGATGCCTCAGTTCCCCTATACCAGACCTCTAACCAACTCCCGCCTATCACTCTATTGGTATTGAGTGTGGGTGACAATATTTTCTTTGATCCGACCAAAGAAGAGCTTGCTGTTGCCGATTGTGTCCTTGCAGTTTCTTTGGCTACCAATTCAGCCAAGGATACCCCGAAAGTTATTGGCGTGCGAACACTTGAGTCTGGCAGTGGAGGGATAGTAACAACCGCTGGAGCAAAGGACGTTGGCAGCGGAGGTGCGGCCGTTGAAGCTACAAGCATGGGAGGTGTTAGAAGGACAGTTGTCAAGAAGATCATCAAGGGGAGCTTGAGCGTTGGAAAGGAGGTCTTTGGAAGTTTACAAGGCGTTGTGGATGCGAACCACTAGAACCGGGAATATCAAAAAAAGAATTCTGTATAATTAAAAGGTTCGGAGATTCGGTGATCATAAACATCGAGTGTTTGATCCAAATCTCATTTTACAATAATACATATCGGCTCTTTTCCCCGGTACTTTTTCGGGTCTCTTGGTTCGTTTCTGATTTTTATTATCCTACTCTCCCTTTCTCCTCTCGAGTATCGGGAATTTTTCAAATTGGGATAATTTGAGACTTTGACGATTTCCAACACGCCTTCCTGGGCGGTGGGTTTCGATTGGGTTGCAACCGGTGTTGACCCGAATGCTCAAAGCCACAAACCAAACATGGACGGGAAAGGTCAAAGACCTGGTGTTCTTTGACTGTTCGGCCCAGCTTCCAGAATACAGAAATAAGCCTTCCTTGCTGGCAAACTATCACGGACTGCATACTCTCCAACACAGGACTAACCTCGCTGTTTAAACTTACATGTAGATACAGTACCGTACCAGCACCTACCTGACATGACCTGCGTTGCTCCAGACTGGCATGCATATTGCTAATAATGAACATGAAACTAACCCAGATCGTCCACGTTTGCTCCTTTCATGGGACCGAAGATAGTCCAATGGTGTTTATGCGTGTCTCCATGACCTCTCCCCCTACCCTAAATGTTCCTTCCGTTATACCGAACTGCATATCCCAGTGCTTTTCGTTGGGATAGCAGGTAATCCGATACTCTACAGTGAAATATCGTGTCTTATGTATATTTTAGAAAAGGCAACAGCCCACAATATGGACCGTTAGGAACTGCAGGGTATATAACCACATGTATGCGGTTTGTTGGAATCCGGTATTGGTTGATGACTGTATCAATCATGACCAACGCCTTGCCTGAGAAACGCATGTATCGACGTTGAGATCTCTGAATCCGTCAGTTTCTCCAAAATGTAACACCCTGGGCTGTCCAAAAGTCTCGAAAGGTGCTGGTACATAATTGACCACATCCCTGACGGGCCTCTAGCGCTGCGTGGTCGAGGTAACACGGCAGATACCATCCAGACCCCAATAGCATGGCCAATCGAAATGCACGCGGGCCACCAGGGGGGGGGGGGGGTTGCCATTTGGGGGTGAAGCCTTAGCCAATCTCCAGGAAAATTTAGGGCCCATAATTGGACCTGTTTAGGATTGATGGATAGAGGGGGAAGGACGTCTTGGTATTGTAATTTTATCTTTGGTGGGCAAGACCCCTACCTGTCGGCCAGTGCGCTGAAGCAGCCCTCTCTTTGGTCCCTGGGGTGCCCGCGTATTTATCCTCACACACTCCCCCCAAGTTTTTCTCCTACATCACCTTCGATCTTCTTAAACCCAGAGCTTCCCTTGATAATTCTTTTCTTCCTTCATACTCTCCTTCAGCTCCCTTTAAAGACGACACTATACACCTTTGCTACTCCAGTACCTTTACACCCCCAACACATATTCAAGATGCCTGGTGTTGTAAGTATTCCTTATATCATTACTAGTTCACCCTCATCTCTCAGCTGAAGTGCGTAAGACTAATAGTACATGTGCCCTCAAACAGCCTCCTAATACTGTCGACCTCCTGAAGAAGTTCGGCCGTTCTCTGTTTAACCGCAAGAAGAAGAGCAAGACTCCCGTCGAAGAGACCACAGAGCACGGCGAGCAGTCAAGCCAGACCCCTTCAGCTGCCCATGACACCCCCGTCAACGTTCCAGCCGTCGCTGCTCCTCCTCCTCCTGCGGCCGAGAACGCCGCCGCCGCAGCTCCACAAATCGAGGAATCCCGAGAAGTAGCACCAACAGCTGCACCCGCCGCGGAGACCATAACCCCTGCGCCAGCGCCAGGTGTCGATGGTAAGACTTTGTTCTGCTGCGTCCGGTCTAAGAATCCCCTCCCCTTTTCTAGTCTCGTTTCTTAATAGAAAGAGTGCAGAAGAGTGGTAGTTGAGGATTACAATTATTACAGAGTGTTGACTTTGTTTGTTTGATAGTGCCAAAAGAAGCAGAGACCGTACTACCGTCGCAACCAACAGCCCCCCAGCTTGACGCACCCAAGAAGGAGGATCCTATTGGAGAAATCGATCTGCCTTCAACAGAGTACAAGAAGACCGATGAGGTTGCCGCTCCTGCCGCCGCTGCTACCGCCCCAGCTGTTGCCGCTGCCGCACCTCCTGCCGAGAAATAAGCTTCTCGCTTATGAAACCTGATCTACGATTAGCTTCCTTTTTTTTTGTCGTAAATCCATTTCAATTTGTTTTAGCGGCGGGTCTTTTTTAAGCTTCACTTTCCTTTTAGTACCATAACTTATCTCCTACGAGTTTTTTTTATAATGCATAATTTATTTTTTTCCTCGCTGCTTCTCTTTCTCTGTCTTTCTTTTTTGGGTTAATTGGGAGGGTGGGGATGGGGGCTTCGGGTTGGTTGTTTCTTGCGCGTGCAAACAGAGTGATTTGAACATTGCCTCTCTTATCGAGTCTCGGTATTTTCCATAACATGTTTTGCTTTTTGGGGCTTTTATCACATCTTCTCTTGGATGCGAGGGGATGAGGGGAGGGAGGGATGAGTTCGGGTCTTCTCTATGTAACTAGGAAATGGGATGGTGGGGTGGGTTGGTGGACGTGCACAACAAAAAGAAAATCAATGATATAGATGGATAAAAACCCTTATAAAAACCTTGTTCCTAAATATGTATATCGAATGGGAGCTTGTTCAAAATATGCGGATGAGGCCCGCCATCCCTGAGCACTGCAGTATTGTTTAATATACAGTCGCACCTCGCTATGTCGTTAGCGCGTTCGAGGAGCTCAGTCCGTACGAGATAGCAAATATACGAGACAGCAAATAATAATTCCCAAGCTGACAGGGGTATGGAATCAAAAAATCTTCATTTTTGGGTGGAATTTCATGCTGAATCTATCTAAATAACTGGAATTCGAACAGGTACCAAATTAGAGATAGATACAAGTATCAGTTGTTAAAATATCCTGAAATTCATATAAAGGTTATTGAGAGGTTTAACTCCTATAAATGAGAGATGGAGCGATCCTCTGAGCCTACTCTGAGCCCATGTACAGAGCAGTGCAGAATCCTCCTTAAGCTCACTTCTCTATTAGAATAGCTGCTCCCTCAACCCCCACTATAACTACTTCCAAGACCTAAAAATCCGAGATAGCAAATACTATTTGTATGGAGACAGGGGATATCTGTTCTCAATTTTCCGTACGATCCGAAAAGTGCCAAAATACGAGATAGCAAATAGGTTTTGGTGTGGAAAACAAGTAGCAGGCCAATTCGTACGAGACAGCAAGAGATCCGGGACATCGAGATACGACATAGCGAGGTGCGACTGTATGTGCACAATATGTCATGCACGCAACGCACACGGTGGGGTACATCTAGTCTACATCTCAATATATCGCACATTACCAACGCAGTAAATTCAAGTTATATTGAATCTGTCTTATGCTTAACCCCACTGCATGTAGATGGAGTGCGTACAGGACATTTACAGTATACGAAAAAACGGGTTGAAATCACTATTGTAAGACGACGAAATTTAGTGAAGAATACGGAATTAAACAATACCGTAGTAATGCCGTATTATTGGTATTGTAGAAAGAGTACAGTCGTTCACTGGGTACCGACGGACTACGAGCACTTACTTGAGATTCAACAAAAACAAAACAGCCAAGCTCTTTCCCATTGGCTTAAACTCCCTGTCCGTCAACACCCAGTGTCTGTCATCACCCAGCGAACCATAGTAAATGTACTTACATTTTGCGATCACAGCCAGCGATTCAAGGTACTCGCGCGGGTATCTGCTTAAGCTTTAGTTTATGTATGTGATTATCAGTATCTTCAGATCCATTTATATCATAAGGAGGGACTAAGTTTATTGACCTAGCTATCAATAACCATAGCATAGCTATCCATTGATATAATACCCTAAAGACGAGTTATATATTGATATGTTGAATACTTTATGCTAGATCACCAATTGTAGCGGACCGCTGTATATAGAACCTCGGCACATTTGGCAAGAAATACACAACGCACGTCAGATAACAATTACAAATTACATACCACCAAGCCTTTGTCACCAACACCAGAGAAAAGGTCCTTGTCAGATACTACCATCAATTGTCATTACTAACTCTCTAGACGCTAAAATTAAAAACAATTTGAAGATAGGTTGTGTTAAAAGCAGGTGTTGTAGCAGTTGTTAACCTCAAGTATACTGGATATTCAGAAGAATAACGAAGCCCACACTTGTATACAACAGGGTCCAAGAGCCTCCTGTCGTAGGGACAATTTAGTCCGCACATATCTCATGTGTGCCTATTCATGACTCCATAAAGTCAGGATACACCCATTTGCATAAAACAAAAACAAAAACAAAAACAAACGCCATAGCAATAACCCATCTTCGTTAGAAGTCCATAAAAAGTATGTATGTCAAGCAAGAGAAAAAATAATAATACAAAGTTAATGTCGCTCGCATCCAAAATGAACCAAAGTCATTGACTCAATCATAAATTGTTACTCCTCTTCAGAGCTGGAGTCGTATTCTGCTGGAACCAAATTTCGATAGGTTCTGCTTCTGAGATCCTCCTCCAGACCTCCAGGGCCATCATCTGGGAGATAGCCTTCGCCTCCAAAGAAGCTTAAGGCGACTGGTAGAAATATCAATGCATGAGTTGCCCCGATAACAACGAGTGCAAGCCACATGCGGAAATAGTATATCTCAAAGATCTTTGAGCGTGTGAAAGCAAGAACGCAGACCCCGATGAGCTTTGTAACAGTAATGCCAGAGAATACCTATAAACAGTCAGTCATTTTCTCAGTCAATAGTATAAAAGGGAAAAGCAACTTACGGAACCGCCGACATTGACCAAAGCACCCAAAGCTCTTGCATCTCTACCTCTAAATTTCGCCTTTGCTCTATCCACCACACTCCTGCTAGGGAACATGAAAGCCCTGGCGACGTGTGAACAAAACTCGACACCAATCCCAACACAAATAACCAAGTTTACCAAGCTAACCGCGTTCAAACTGACTCCCCAGACAGCCATGACACCTAGAATGTCCACGACAATCATGAGCACAGTCGCACTAACCACAAACCCCGTCTTTATGCTTCCCAGAAGTATCGTAGAAACCAGGAATATGCAGCCCAAAGCTGCCAGAAGTAAGCCGCCAGTCAAATTGACTATGGTCGAGTACTGGTCAAAAAATATGTAAAATTTCGAATAAGGAAAGACTTTAATTCCGGCATTTTTCGAGATAGTATCTGCGATTCTCCGGGCGGATGCATAGGCGTCAATAAAGTCCTGTTGACTTCTCAAGGGGGTGTGCGATGTCCTAAAATGAGTTGCATTGATGGTGGTCCTTTCATAATCAGGGACAATAGCATGAGAATAAGCTGCCTTTCCAGCCAAAGGACAATCCTCTCCAGTCGGTGCTTTGATCCAAACGTTGAGATAATCTAGGAATTCCTGGCCTTGTGGCATCCCAGAGAGGGTGATATTCCAGGCCGGGTCCCTATCCTCAAAACAAATTTTGCATTGTCGGTCGTTATCAAACTCTCCGCAAAGTTGCGAAGGGTCTCTCTTTTTCACCCTGCAACATTTCTCGAGAGACGGATTGAGCCAAAGAAAATAGTCATCAATCCAGCTCGCAGCGGGCTCAGCAATGTATGAGGTTTCTGGGCGTTTGCGTTCTTGTTCGAGAACGTTCGAGAGCGAGTAAGTATCACATGTGGAAAAACGTCCGCATAGGGCCTGCTGCTCGTGGGCTTGCGTAATGTTGTACTCTTGAGTGACAAAGTAGACCGGTGGACCAACACCAAGGTAATCATAAAGGTCGTTGAAATAGCCAATAAGATATGAATCAGTTGGTATAGCAATTCTTTGATCTGTAATACCGAAATGTTAGAGATTAAATAGGCTAATAGGATTAGTTAGGATCAAATGGCTTACCAAGGCCAAGCTCTATCTTGGGGAGGAGTGCCAAGCTTGCGGTAAATAACCCAAAAAACAACATCATGACACCCCACTTTGCCTTCCTTTGCAATAAGCCTGGGGCATATTTTTTTCGAATAAAGCCTTGCAGAATGCTCTCATCCACGGGGTAGGCTGACATCCTGATATCCCTCGTTGTCAACCCATTGGGATGCCCATTGTCTCTGTTTTCTCCGGGGACCTTGAAACAAGGAAAACAATCCATCCTTGAATCTTCGACTCTCTCCTGATTGAGGGCTAGGACCGCTACAAACATCGTCACTTGCAGTACGGCATTTATGAATACCGCACCTGCAGCATATATCGCGAAATTTCTTACTGCCGGCATCGTTACGATGGCTCCAAGAGCAAAGGCAATTGTCTCGCTCGATGCAGATAAAAGAATACTAGGCCCCATTCGCCCCATTGCTTTCCCCACCCGAACCTCTACAGATTCGCCGAGATGTGAATGATTGACTCGTTCGAATTCGTGGACGATTAGAAAGATATTGTCCACACCAACTGCCAGCACAAGGAATGGAATAACTTCTGCGATGATAAGCGTTACCTTAACACCCATTGCAGAGAACAATCCCACACTGGCAGAAACACTCATCAGGACGATAATTATGCCGAAAATCCCAAGAGTGAACTTGCTCTCGATTAGAATTTTGCTGGGTTGATTGAAAATACGAGTAATTGCAAAACCGGTGCTACCCAAAGCAAAACTCGCGTAGATAAACATTGCAATATAACTGATTACGACAATCTTTGCATCGGTATTGGTACTTTTGTTGAGTTCTTCTTCCAAACTGATTTCTGTTGAAAAGCTCAACCGCAGGCCCCTTTCTTTTGCTTCAGACTGTACTGCAATCAAAGTGCTTTTTAAGCTCCTTTCCCAATCCATGCTTCTTTCAAGCTCCTCGGATCCCTCCGGATGATTCTCCAAAACCCAAGTCACAATCATTGCTTTCGCTTCTGCAACATCCCCACTCTTTTCCCAGCCACCCAACAACAATTCTTTATTCAAAGGCTGGCCAAAATCTGGCAAACATTGACTTTGAACGGGTTGTGCTGTACACGATCTCAGATCTTTTTTCCAAGTCGCTTCTTTGAGATTCCAAAAGTCGTTCCCAAAATAACCTGTGATAGATTGAACAACACATCCGGAGTCGGTAGGTTTAAAACAAACGTCGTCCAGAGTAACACCGTAGGCCAGACTCTTCATCCGCCGGATACGGTTCTCCACGTCAAACCACCAACCTAACACATCGTAATCGAGAGTTGGTGACGGTCCAGCATCAGTGGTGTCGTTAACCAAAAATGCCTGCTGAGCTCGATAAAAAGGCCCAAAGTTGTCGTCAAAGAACTGTTTCTCCATAGCAGCCTCAGAGGTAGGGCTAACCCATAGTCTCACAGGATCATTCTCGACTGAAAAGTTCAGCCAGCCCAAGCTCAGTAGACCGACACATAGAACACTGATCACTATCGTCACTGTAGGGAAAGATGCACAAGTTTCCCCAAGTCTCGAGAAAAATTTATCGATGTAGGTATTGAGGAGGTACTCCCCTCTAGATCTTTCGATCATGCCTGCATCAACGACATCACCTTCATCTTCGTCATCGCTTGGAGCACTCTCTTGCAACAATCTCAATCTTTCGGCCCTTCTATCACGGTGTACCTTCCAAGCCGAATGTGCTGAATATCCACCGACTATGATCAACAGTAATAAAGAATATATGGTGATAACCGCAAAGCTGAGACATGGAATAATCCCAACCTTACAATCTTTCCCTGTTTGAACTTCCGGAAGCTCGGGGCAAACAGAAGGACAATCCACGCACGAACATCGGTACGATACATCTGTATCATTGCACCGCTTGGGAGAGTTATCCATCTGCTCCATAGGCGCGTTCATTTCATCGCCAGCAGGAAAGTTCATTTGGAACGGCGATCCGAACGGCTTTTCATCCCCAAGGAATGTCAAGAAAGCTTTGTAGTCCTTCGCACCGCCACCGATGAGGTCCATGACATAACCGTTGGTTGCAGAAAACTTGACATCTTTGCATGAATCGAAGAATCCACTTCCAAATTTCTCTGACACAAAATAATCCAACTCTGTGACGATTGTCTTTCCGCCTCTGAGTTCTTGAGTGGATGTGACATTCAAAAACAAAGATTGGTCAGGAGAGCAAGTGAATGTGCAAAAAAGGTCGAAGAAATTAGCCTTGCAAGCGGGACAAGCTGCTATGAGGTTTTCGGCTTTTTTGAGGTTGGAGGCGAGATTTTCAAGCTGTACCCCAAAGGTCAATGGACAACCTCCTTTGTATAGGAGCACCTTGAGAGGTCACACATACCTGATCTCCGTCACAACACACTGGTCCCTCGTTCCAAGTAGCTCCACAGATATCAACTAGCTGTTTTCTAACAGATGCTTCCGGTTCCTCAGCTGGCCCGTTATCTGGGCATGGCAATTGCCCACCAAAGAACGATTTCTTACCGCACTAAAGGTTACAGTCAGCAGTGGTTTCAAAAAAGAGAACTTAAAGTTGAAGTACCTGACCGCGCAGTGCACAAACACCGGCTTTGTGTACTTTGGTCACCGGTTCCGACACGGTCGCGGCAGTTGCGGCGGGAGCTAACGTCAATAACGAACAAAGAAACAGGGTGACCAGTAACAGCAGCGGTGGTATCCGAAGCATCGAAAGATGCCTCTTCATTTTGGTGGAATCTGTTGAGCAAACTTATGTGGACGTGATGGTTTTGGTGGCGGTAAATGGATGTTGTCACTGCGGGTGGTGGATGGCGGGTTGTCTCGGTAAGTTGTGGCTTCCGAGCAACCAGTGTGATGAGCGACGGGGAATCCAACAGGTCCACCACAGCTACAGCTACAGCTACAATACTGTAGTTTTTGACGAAATTTGGAGTCCCTTATCCCCTTACCTTGAAATAAGCGAAAAGAGTTGAGCTAAAAGAAAATGGAAGGAGTGAAGGAAGGAGGAAGGGAAGGAGGAGGAAGGGCAGGAGAAGGGGAGGAGAAGGAAGGAGATGAGGAACGCCCCGGGACCAGGCGAGTTGTGGGGAGAGGTACATACAAACAATGAGTAAGGAAAGAGGCTGAACGCAGGAGCAAGAAGCCTGTGTAAAGTACATGTACCTATGGGAGCTTCAACTTCGACTGCAGTGATCTGGATTTCCAGCTACCGGGGCCACGACTGTCTCTCACTCCTAGCCTTCAATTTTGATTTGCTCGCTCATTCACTGTTATGGTCATTAACAGTCGCCTATTTTGCCTACATGTATCTAGAGTAGACATCTATTAGAGTAGAGTTCCTAGATTGTGGATTGCTCTAGAGTACATACTTGTACCTACCTACATGTAGATATCTTCGTGTCACTCGCTCAATTATGTAGAGCACCTACTCTACTTCCTTGTCTGGTTGTTCAGGGGGATAATAAACCTGATGACGTGCGGCTGCAGGATTGGTGCAAGACCACTATGTCTTGGCAGGAGTTAAGAACGGCTGTGCAGCAGTCTACATGTAGTAACCTGAAGCTCTTTGCTCCAGCTTTGATGAAATACAACTCCTCATGACACCCATAAATGTACCACCTAAAATGACAAACATCGTAGTAGCATTCCATGCTTCCCAAACCATGTATCAAGTACGTATAGCTAAAAAAAAATTCCTATTCCATACAAATACCAAAAATAAAGAAACCAGATACCCCAAAGTTACATGAAATCAAAACACCGCGCTGTTGGCCATTCACATCAAAGTCATAAGATATCATCATTGAAGGGTCTACATGATGACACATGGAATACTAGATAATAAGAGTGAGTACATGTGTTTGCATCTAAATAGATAGGCGAGAATAGCTTACCAGCAGCACGAGTAACCATCACAATCAAGACATTTCTCTCCTGGTGGCTTTCCAACGCCACCAATTGATAAGATGCCACCGCCGGTAAGTGGGCTCTTTTCTCCAGTCCTGTCAACCAGTACGGTGGAAGATGAGGAAGTGCACATTGTAGTTTGATTAGTTGGAGGTGGTTGTAGAGCGGTTGGGAAATTACTGTTTAGTGTGTTCACATAGGTCCTTGATGTCAGTGATCATCTTCTTTGGAGCATTAGAGGAAAACGTAGGAGGAGGGAAACAAATAAACGAAGGCTGGGTTTTGAGCAGCAAAATGCCTCATCAATTGAGGATTCAATTTCTCAAGCTGCTCATTGCAAAAGTTCCCAATGGTTGTGACCCCATGCAAGGATCTCGTGAAGCAACATAGAAAGATAACAGAATCAATCAATAACTCACCTGAAAATTAGGTATAGATTTGATAGCGGCGTGAATGCTTTTCTTTGTTTGAATTAGTTGGATATCGGTGAGAATAGTGAGATTCAGAGACAGAAGAGGGAAGAAATACCAATTCTTGATCACATACTCGCGCGAGTAGAGCTTTCGATCAGCTAGGGCTATACCCCAAGATGACGTACACATGTTTGAGCCTAAGCCGACACAGCCGAGTTGTACTACTCTAGGATGTGGCTCGTGAGATCAAGAGTTGGCATTCGGCGCCTATCAACCACCTCATGAGACCGAATCCCAGTTATTCGCACAGCCAGCAGGGTGCGGCGTAATCGTATGGCCGATCATGCAAGAATCGTTGTCCAGGTTTATCGCAGTAACGGCATTCGGGGTACATACTACCGGCCCTTGCTTCGCGGGGCCGCATTAGGCCGCACGCCAGCCTACTAATGGGAGTATGTAAAGCATCTCAATACCCAAACTCAACACCGACTTTCCAGGTAGCTACATACATGTACTTTTAAACTACATACTTTTGGGCAACCTAAATTCTTTCCGCGACACCGATATGACTTCTCCACCAGTTGCCATCGTGGGTTGTACAGGATTAGTAGTGAGTTGACAGTCTTTATCGATCAACCATTTCATCAGGATCAAGCTCCCAGGTTCTAATGATTGGTCGTCAATGATTTATAGGGTTCTCATATCCTACAACAACTTATATCCTCTCCACAAACATTTACTGTAAACGCATTGATGCGTCGAGCCTATCCTCATCCTATCCATGACCCCGATTCGAAGCTCAAGGCTTTAATATCTACCGATACTTCAACATGGCCAGACACACTTGCCACAACTTCTAGCACTGCTCTTTTCTCGTCTCTCGGTAGCACTCGGGCGGACTCTGGTTCCCTCGAACTTCAACGCAAAATCGATGTCGATCTCAACGTAGCCGTCGCGCGCGCCGCGAAAGAATCTGGCGTCAAAACATATGTTCTCATTTCATCTATTGGCGCATCATCAGCATCACGGTTCCCCTATATACAGATGAAGGGGGAGTTAGAGGACGCAGTGATTGCTCTTGGATTCGAAAAAACCGTTATTCTAAGACCTGGGTTGATTGTTGGTGGTAGGGAAAAGACTAGAATGATGGAGCAGCCACTCCACCACATTGCAAATCTGCTTGGCGCTGTGTCTGGTGGAATGCTGAAGAACTCTTGGGCACAGGATGCAGACGTTATTGCGAGAGCTGCTATCAGAGCAGGAATGGAAGACGCAGTATGGGATGGAAAGGGGACAGAGAGCAATGGAAAGAAGTTTTGGGCAATGTCCCAAGCAGATATTGTGGCTTTAGGGAAGGAGCCATAAAGGCTCTAGGCTTTAAATCATGGAATACTTCTTGAAGTTGTTATGTTTATATTATCTCTGTCATATACCACTGTAGGGCATGTGTAAGATTTAATATTGAGTTGTCTTGCTTATTTACGTACTGATTAATATATCAGTGTCCAAGATTAAATCATATGGCGCTACCTACAAAATCAGCGCCGCTCATGGTCGTGACCCTATTCAGATATTATCTCGTTGTGGCTGGAATGCATACATGTAATAACAGATGAATTTACGTCGTGTGTCCCATACATATGTACATGTGCATTTAATTTTATGACCAATTACTCAGTCTAACTTCGGGAGAAACCTCATCCAAGACCCAGCAGCATGAACTGTCGTTGTCTTTACGTTGTCAATCACGCTACATCAGCGCCTGACCCCGCCGGCATATCTCAGCTTCGATAATGCTCTAGGTACATACTTGAACGTTGTGAAGGTCTTCTACGAGAACACGTTAAACATGTGGTGCATGAAACAATCGCTTATCAAAAAAATTCTGGTTGAACTGCTGGCAATGAGGTTCGTTGTCGGTCTTCTTTAGTAGTTGTACCACCTACTTTAGGGTGGGAGGAATGTATGTACCAGAGCGTTCACAGTGATCAGTAACAGTAACCGCATCCAGAGAGCGTGCAACCCTGTCACGGAGTGAGGGACCCTATTGATTGATAGAGCAAAAAAAATAAAATAATTAAGACTCACTACATGTACTTACTCACGACGACTCGCTCGCGGGAGCTGTCCACTCGTCCACGATCGAAAATTAGATTCATCCAATCAGCGCAATTTCCATATACCAACTGTCCACTTAGAATAAGAGTACTAGCTGTTGCTGCTGCGTTGCCGCTCCTGCTGCTCGTGCTTCTCCTCCACCTGGCAAGGCTCTCCACATCAACCTGCGCTTCTCTGTTGTCCATTTGCGCCCTCTGCCGTTGTCGCTGACTGCCTTATTTTATTCTCTTCTCTCTCCTCTCCTTCCCTCTCTTTCCCGCCCACTTTTCTCCTCTCCATCCTTTCCCCCTCGTCTCCATCTCCCGTATTCATCTCCCACCACCCATCTCCTCGTTTTCTATCATCTACGTGTTAGTTCATAGACCCTTACGAATTCACACCAACTGCTACTATCTCATTACCGTTGTTGCCACTAGCTGCCCAAATCTCCCACATATGATGGCCTCAGTAAGTTACACACAAGTACCCCGGCAACCCCCCACCCCATCTCCATATTGAATAGCCCCCACTCCTCTTTCAATCCTCTGTTCTACATATACAACTTTGCCCTCTCTCGCCCCAATTCAATTTTAGACAGTCCTCTTATTATGATCCAGGTCCCACCACAACTTCGCCCTCAATTCGGTGCACCTCCTCATCATCCACAATACGTGCCAAATGGCCAGGTGCCTGGAGCTCCCCCTCAGCCAGTACAGCTTCCACCGCAACAAAAGATCATTGAGAAGAGTGGAGTGCGGATCTTGTGCATTGCGGATGTTAGAGGTAATCTATACACTCCAATTCCTGACGTGCTACATTCAGTTGAGGTTATTGACGTTGTTCCTTTGTGATTTTTCTTCGTTTCTTGTAGGAAATCTCAGGTCTTTAAACGAACTTGCGAAGAAAGCCAATGCAGATCATATCATCCACACTGGTGATTTTGGGTTCTACGATAATAGCTCTTTAGAAAGAATTGCCGACAAGTCCGTTCTTTCGCTTCAACCTAAAATCTGTCGACACTGACATTTCATATAGAACGCTACGACATGTGGCTCAATATTCCCCCCTTCTCGACGAACGTCTTAAGAAGAGCATTCAGAGCCCCGGTGCAAGCCATGTACCTATCAAACAACTCGTCGGAGCTGAGCCGAACCCTCTTTCCGAACTTCCTCTATTCCTCTCAGGAACATATACCTTAGATGTTCCTGTTTACACGGTTTGGGGAGCATGTGAAGATGTTCGCGTTCTTGAAAAATTCCGATCAAACGAGTACAGAATCAACAATTTACATATCATTGACGAGGCCTCGTCGCGGCTTCTAGATGTTGGTGGTGTTAAGCTTCGGTTGTTGGGTCTGGGAGGTGCTGTTGTCATGCATAAGCTATTTGACATTGGAGAAGGGAAAACCACGATCGCCGGAGGACAGGGAACAATGTGGACCACTCTCTTACAGATGGGAGATCTGGTAGATACAGCGAACCGAGTTTACGACGCTGCAGAAACCCGAATTTTCATTACGCATGCCTCACCCGCCCGCGAGGGACTGCTAAACCAATTGTCAGTTACCCTCAAAGCGGATTTCTCAATTTCTGCTGGTTTGCATTTCCGTTACGGTAGCTCGTATAACGAATTCAGTGTCAACCCATCCTTAGATCATTATCGTGGAAAACTTGCTTCTTCTAAAGCATCTTTCAATGATGTATGGGAAACCGTCAAAAACGAGGTTCTTGCTGCTGTACAACAAAACACCGCCCAAAACAAGCTTCTGGAAAACGCATTAGCAATTGTGGATAAGATGCCGACAAGTTCAAACGGAGGTAGCCCATTTGGCGGCCCCCCAGCTAATGCTGCTCCTGGTGCTGGCCAGGTTGATGAGTCTGCATTCAAGAATATGTGGAACTTCAATCTGGCTGACGCAGCATTTGGCTGGCTGGTCTTGGAGGTTGAGAATGGAAGAATTGGAACCGAAATGCGAGCACAAGGTTTCAACTTTCATCATAGGGGAGGGAAACCTCAGTTACCGACTCAGCAGCAGCAGCAGCAGCCAAAGCCTACAATGGCACCAACTACTTCAGCGGCCCCGCCTAGCACAGATTCTGGTCCGGTGAACGTTAGCGTTCCTTCTATCCCAACTACCAACAATGCAAATGCGCCTATTAGCCCAGCAGTTCCACCTGTAGGTCCGAGAAAGCAGACCCAGAACCAAGGTGTGCAACAACCTGCAGTGCCCCCCCCAGTGCCGAAGCAACCGACTCCACCTCCCCCCCAGGAAGAGTCTCTAGTGGTAAAACCTGCAACCCCACGACCAGCACCAAGTGGTCCTGCTGCGGATAGGGTTCCTACTCCCTCGGTGGCTCCTGTTGCTCCCTTGCCAACAGCCGTACCAGCAGCCACACCAGCAGCCACACCAACAGCAGAGAAGACACCTACCAGTAACGGGACAAGTCCCGCATCAGTCCCCCCCGCACTACCGAAGGTCGACACTCCTGCAGCTTCAGCTCAAAATACGGCCCCCACCAGTTCTCAGTCGCCATTAGAAAAGACCAAGCAAACCGGTCTATACATTTCTGGAGTTCTCACCGAGACCGAGGCTCGCCAAACCTTCCCACCCGAAGATGAATGTCGTATTCTCCGCGTTGAAGAGAAAACCTCTAGGACCAGAAACCTTTTTAAGTTCTACCTCGTATATTTTGAAAGTATGGAAGTGACGAAGGAAATTCTTGACAAGTTACCCGAGGACTTGAAATCAGGGCCACCAGGTCAGCGCAACGGCAAGCCGTATGTGAAAATGATGCAGGATGAATTCACCCCTGGCGATCGCATATCAAGTGGCAACCGACCTGGTATGAACGATAGTAGGTGGGGTCGAGGACCGGCTGTTGGCGGAAATACTAGCGAAAGCGACAATAATATGGGGGGCGGCTATAGAGGCCGCGGAAACTTTGGTGGAAGGGGAAAATCTAGGGGAGGGTACGAAGGGACCAGAGTATCCAGAGGAAGGGGTAAGAGGGGTTTTCACAGTGGTGATGGAGGTAGCAGTGCCACAACACCTGCCGAATAGTAGGGCTTTCTTTTAGTCAAAGAAGTTCCGGAATTTGTTGGCGGGGAAGAGGTTCTGGACTGGTTGGAAGATATGGCGTGGTTAATAAATCTAAAAGGGCAAAAAGTTTTTTCTTATTTTTTTGTGTTCCATGAAAGAAGTCAGGTGAAGAGGAAATTATATGTTTTAGTGGTTGTTATTTAGCGTTTTGGCCCCCGTCTTAAATATCCCAATATCTTCTAAGCGCAAATTATCAAGAGTGAATACGCGCGTTTCTTACATTCTCTGATTTTACCTTTTCTCTCTTTTTAGCTGAGACGCCTTCAAGTTGCCAATCTACAACGTTCTGTGCTCGATTGGTATTTACTTTCTTAATTACATATAATGTAATTGTTTCAAGTTTAAGCATCGTTTCCAGTTTAAGCATCGTTTCAATCTCCTCCAACACCATGATAGCAACATATCAGATTTGGCGGTTTTATAAACTGGTTTTATACATTATGTGAAGATGATTATCTTAATGCGAGAAAATAGTGGTGAGGTTTCATCAAGACTACATGTATATATCTCTGGTGAATCGAGAGTTGTGTTAGTTCTTTCTTTACTCTTTCTGGTCACCTGAACTCTCTATGTCTTGATATTAATGAAGAATAAAGTATCCACCACTTAATTTTTTACATATTGTCCAGAAAGCCCCGAAAGAATGGCTATCGCAAGGCACCTCCGCCACCTAGATGCCTTCTCATTTCCAGAGCAGTTTTATACGGGGGTGCTGTTGGGGGTTGTATCGGATCTATACTCGATCTCTTTTGTCCATTCTCATCGACATCTGGTAGCTGGTTTGTCGCATCTGAATCGTATGCGCTTAGATCCCCACATGCTATAAATGGTGCTATGTACCGAACAACGTCCATTCCATCTTGTCCTACGCCCTCTTCCTCCCCATCTATGCTTTCTAATAAAACCTCTCGCACCCCATCCACGAGGTTTTGATCCTCCTGCACAGTTGTGGTTTTTATCTTCGGGAATGATGTCCCTAGCCCTAGAGGTGCTTCAAGTGATGGTTGGAAACCCTGTGGTGGCCTATATCCCTCACAGACCACGAAGGCTTCGATACTACTCCCGCGCGAGCTCCTTGGCTTTGCACATGTCACCCGATCGAAAAGGCATCGCAATTGCGCAAAAACGATAGCAACGTCGCGACCCCTGAATATCTTTGCTACAAATCCTCCTCCGGGAACGAGGACACATGTAGCAAGGTTGAGTGCAGCCAAAAGCAACTGTGATTGAATGTATTCGTCAAGGTCATGCAGCCCAGTTACATCTGGGGCTCCATCAGAGATGACCAGATCTGCAGGCTGGTTCTCCAAATGTGAGAGAAGAAGTGGAAGTGTGGAGGGATGAGTTATGTCCGCTTGAAGTGTTATAACACCCGGGAGGGGTGTCATGGGCTGTAAGTCCAGTGCGACAATAGTAGATGTTGGTGGGAGGGTGCGGGAGAGCACTTGAGACCAAGAACCAGGCGCAGCACAGAGGTCAACTACACGAGTAGCATTGGAAAAAAGATTGAACTGAGAGTTGAGCTGAAGGAGCTTGAAAGCGGAACGAGCACGCCAACCTGGTATTATAAAAGTCAGCGACCTTTCCACAAAAATTACTATAAAATTCGAGAAACAATATATCTCCTACCTTGCTCTTTTGCAAGGCGATAGTAAGAGTCGCGCTTATCTTTGCTGGATTTTCCCATTTTAGAGATCGATATCTTGGAATAATTATATAAGAAGTTGTGTGCATTTGGTGGGGTTAATTGCATAAAGCCAAAGAGCCCCACTGCCAAGCTTTGGGCCTCTACGCCAAGCTATACTAGCTAGAGTTGACGTTGACGATGAAAATAAAAATCTGGGATCGCGGAGGGTATGGAATAGAACAATCAGATAATATCGACAAGTTTACAGTCTCCTTCCTCATAATGCCACCCAAAAGAAAACAACCTTTCTTATCTGCCCTTCAGTATGGCCGTAAAAACCCTCGTCTGAATCCTCGTTTTCAGAAAAAAGACGAAAAAGAGTTAGATTTTCCGACCGACCTTTCCGACCCCTCGAGTCTCCCCCCACAAGCAATTGAGCTGGTTCGCAAAGTAGTTGAGGAGAAGATAGAACATGGAAAAAAATTGGTTTTTCGCGGCCTGAAGAAAGCTAAGGGTTTCGAAAAACAGAAACTTGTGAAACGACTAAAGATTGCTAGGTGAGTGAGGAGGTTTTCCTCTAAAGAGTGAAGAAACTGATTTAGACTGTTTATTATAGGGAAAAGAATGAAGACGCAACTGTTAAGAAACTTGAGCTGGAGTTCGAAGTTCTAAAGGTACACTTAAGTTCAATTCCACGCTTCTGAATACTGATAGAAGCAAATGCTAACTTTGTACTGATGCAGACGGAAGAAATCGACCTTAACTCTCTCGCCTCAAATCATATCTTAAAAACATTTTCAAAATACAAGCCTATATCAACATCTCCTTTGTTCCCTCCCTGGCTCGCACCACGGAAGGAATTAGAAGCTCAGCTGAACGATAAAGAAATAGCGAAAAGGAATATAATTGCAAGATTATACAACTCAAACGCTGTCAAAGAAGCAATGGCAATGGTGGTTGGAAATGTCAAGTCGGCGATAGGCATAAGCGAGGGTGGTATTAAGGGGAAGGGGAAGGTAACTGAAACAGAAACAAATGTGGGATCCGAGTCTGAAGAAGGTAGTGGGGAGACTGTTGAGACAGTTCGTCTTGTAAAGAGGATGAAAATCGACAATAAATCTACTGCCGAAGAGGAAAGCGAGAGTGAGGACGAGGAAGAAGAGTGGGGTGGGATTTTGAACTCTGAAGAATCAGTAGATGCAGAAATAGATTTGGATGCCTTTGCTGCCGATTTCATGGATAGGGTGGCAGGATCATCAGACGAAGATGAGGATCAAGGCCCATTACAACGGGGTACAGATGATGAATGGTCTGGCGAAGATGACGAAGATGACGAAGAAGACGAAGAAGACGACGAGGAATATCAGGGGGTACGAGCTCAGCACGCTAAACCAACCACTTCCAAATCGAAATCCGAATCCAAACCAAACCCAGACCCACATAATCAAACGCAAGAGGCCACCAATTTAAAGGTCAAGAAATCCGAAAAGCTGAAGCCTGTTGACTCGGTAAAGTCAACGTTTCTCCCTACCCTCATGTCCGGTTACATTTCTGGCTCTGATTCCGATATTGACGCCGACTATTACAAAGATAAAAACGGAAAGAAGAAGGGGCCGGCACAGCCGAAAGAGCGGAAGAACCGGATGGGTCAGCAAGCTAGAAGAGCCTTGTGGGAGAAGAAGTTTGGGCAAGGGGCGAATCATGTCAAAAAAGGAGAGGAAGAGAAAGGTAGGAAAAAAATCGAACAAAGGATCAAACAAGGAAGAGGGGAGGACGGAAGGAAGGAGGGGAGTACTGCAGAGAAGAAAGGGAAACCCACAGAAGTTGAAGGGCCCTTACATCCAAGTTGGGAGGCTGCCAGGAAAGCGAAGGAACAACAGGCAAAGGTACAAGAAGCAGTCAAGGGGAAACCAATGGGAAAGAAGATCGTGTTTGACTGATATCTTCAGTATTTGGCATGTTCTTATTTCATTTAATTTCTTCGTCATGTATTTGCTAGGTCTACATTCTGTTCATCTGGCAAACTATCACTCCGTTGTAACGTTAATCCAAATTTTAGCATAGTAAGTACATGTAATATTATTTCCCGTTTGCGTGAAGTTGAATTATTATTGTTGGCTTAAAAGTTATATTATTGGACTTGATGTACGCGTGATGGATTGAATTGATGCTACGATATCTCTATCAATGCACCAGTACCTACATAATATGTAGGTAAATTAATATAAGTACATCATCTAGAAACTGCATCTAATAATATAGTCAACTACCACTGGCACTAAAAAAAATATCTGAGAAAGAGACCACCGATATACGACAGAGTGAATTATGTACTAATGTTCTTACCTACATACTCTACGTGCACCTATAAGTATGTCCTGCAATATTTGATCGTTAATATGAAAGCAAAATATTCGCAATCTTCATAACTAACACGTGAATTGATCAAGAACCTTGCTAGACACGATTATGAAGTGCATAAGCTCCAGCTGCTCTTGGCATATCGAGTGACAACTTATGAGATTACTAAGCAAGAAGTGGTGACTTCCCAAGGTCCGCCGGTAAAGATCATCTACCCAATTCGCCGTCATCAACCCATCAAAACCACCTCCTTCGTTCCCGTTAACTTTCTGTCGGGGAACAAATTCGCCATGTCCGCTCGGACCAACTCCACATGCGCCGTTGTGCGTTCCCTTTCTAAGGCTGCCGTTGGTGGTAGCCGCTCCCCCGCCCTCCGGGGAGTTCTCCCCGCCACTACCCTTATGAGGACCTATTACTCTGGACAAAAGAGACCAGATGGTTCAGAACTTCCTAACGTTAGGAAAGCAGAAAGACTCCGTATGATTTACTATCTCATTGACTATTTAAACCCACCCAATTACTGACTGTGGTTATATCACGATTAGCGGTTGGACCTCTCTCAGCGCCAATTGTAAACCCGTAAGGCTACATACAAATCTCGCACTCGATAAAACAGTCATCAATGATACTGATACCTACTGCTCAACAGTGCTGAAAAGTATGCCTCTGCTGGCGAATCGCTGCACGCATATGGGCGTTATCTTATCTCGTGCTTGCCAAAGCACATTCAACAGTTTTCTGTCTGGAAAGACGAGCTTACAATTTATATTGCCCCAACATCTGTTCTTCCTGTGTTTACCTTCTTAAAGAATCACACTGCAGCCCAGTTCACTCAGGTTTCTGATATTACCGGTGTGGATTATCCTACAAGGAACTATCGTTTTGAGGTCGTGTACAACCTCCTGTCTGTACACCACAACTCTCGAATTCGCGTCAAGACTTATGCCGACGAAGCTACACCAGTTCCTTCAATTTGCAGTCTCTACGATGGTGCCAACTGGTATGAACGTGAGGCGTATGATTTGTTTGGCATTTTCTTCGTCGGACATCCGGATTTGAGGCGTATTATGACGGATTACGGTTTCGATGGACACCCTCTTAGGAAGGATTTCCCATTGACGGGATACACTGAACTGCGGTACGACGAGGAGAAGAAGCGAATCGTTGTAGAGCCCTTGGAGATGACACAAGCTTTCAGGTATGCTCTCATGACTTTTTTGATACTAGAGAAAGAGTTTTAGTAGGAATAAAGATTTGACAATGGTATGTATGTAGGAACTTCCAAGGTGGTAGTAGTGTTTGGGAGCAGGTTGGAAGTGGTCGTGATTATAAACCTGAGTCGGTATGTTTCTATGGGCACCCTTCCTACTTTCGGGGGGGCTTATTCTCATTTTCTGAGCAGTTCAAACTCCCGACACCAGCTCCGGAACCGGAGAGTAAAGGTGAACAGAAGAAATGATATTATTTTTGATCAGCTAAAGTTGTAGCAAATGAACAAACCCAAATAAACCAGCGTCTTCCAAGTTGGAGAAGATACCGCATATGTATATCTAATAAGTATATAGATATACCGATATGCAATGTGTTATTTAAAGGTTTTGATTGGCCAGGTTTGAGGGGTTTTCTTTTTCTCTATCAAATATGTTTGCCAGTAAGTAGATATTCTATCAAATATGTTGGAGTTAGTAGATATTCTATCAAATATGTTTGAGTCAGCCAGTAGATATTGGTTCCAACATAACTTGAGTCAACCAAATAGTATATCAGATATGTGCACAGGGCATCTTGGGGTTTCAGTGATCTTAAGCGTTGGTAAACTGATATTGTTTAAGCCATAACAGTTCCTACTCCGGCCAAAGGCCGGTAAATGCTTGTATATATATAAGGATATGAGTTTACTTCTCTGCTACTTACATAAATATGTACATGATAGACTTTACTATCTCGTTTTCTCATCTAATCTTGTAAATTTTTGCGGGTTCAAAGTCCTAGGCAAATAAACTACGATAAAATTTCGCTAGCGCTTTTTTTTTTTTTTTTTTTTTTGAATACTTCCCATTTTACCTATTATAAATCGCAGCCTTTTGACATATAATGAGTTTTTGTTTTTCATGGGCCTCGGGATCGTTCAGAAGTTCTTGTGATAGGATAATACTAGAGGCTCCTCATAACTATGTGTTAACCCAGAGATACCTTGTATGTACATGAAGGTTTTGGCTTGAAAGGTGTGCAGCTCACTCACAGAAATAATCCGAGCGAAAACGTAGCTATATTAAAGATTGCATGTACATGTAGGTACAGATATGCCGCGTTGAGGTTCTGCTGGCTATTCGTTACATAAACAGAGGCAAAACATCGTAAAGTATTCTGGCCCTTTCTTATAATGAGCCATGTATCTTACACGTGTGCCCACATGTAGGTACTAAAGTGTAGCGAAAAGTGATCAGAATCTGATAAGACAAATACACGTATTCACCGCAACATTCACTTATCAGATTCTGATCACTTACCCTCAACACCCCCGGTACATGTACGTATGTGACATTGTAAGCCAAGGCTGTTTTAATTGGAGGGCTTACATAAGTCATTCCTGCCACGGGATTCGTTAAACAACTTAGACACCAACTCCCACCTCATCTCTTTCCCACCATCAACCCTTACTGCTGATTATTCCACTCCACTTGTACAGCGTTCATAGATATTCTTCCACACCATCACATCATCCAAATACCTGTACTGCTTTGTTCTATCTATTCGCCTTTCTTGTTAACCCATATCAATGTCGAGAGTACAACAAGACACCTTCATCGACGACACCGAGGAGTTCTGGTACCGCACTACTCCTTCCCGCTACCCCTCCCCCACCTTCACTAACTAAAGCGAGATTTACAGTCCTCTTTGTGTCGAAGAGTTGGATATCCAAGACAAGAATTTTAAACCTTGTCCTTGTGGCTACCAGGTAAGGATTCCTAAAGTAACTCTTTTCTGCTTCCTGGTGGCATCAATACTCAAGTTCTTTCAATTAGATATGCCAGTTCTGTTTCAACAATATCAGGACGAACTTAAATGGCCTGTGCCCTGCTTGTAGACGAGCGTACAACGAAAAGACTATTGAATATAAACCCATTCCCAGTGAACAGTAGGTTCCATCTTTAGTGCGCTGATACGCTGAATTCCTGCAGCGCAAATTGGAATTCGTTACTGATTAAATATTTCTTGCGATTCTATAGAGTTAGGGCCGAGAAAGCAAAGAAGGATCGTCAACAGTCGGAGAAACGTAAATATGAAGCTCAGAAACGTGAAGCCGAGGCTCTGAATCGTGAACGTCTTCGAGGTCTCCGAGTTGTCCAGAAGAACCTCGTTTACGTTACAGGCCTAAATCCACGTATCCGTGAGGAGGACTTACTTCAAACGTTAAGAGGTGCACAATATTTTGGTCAATATGGCAAAATAATCAAGATCGTTGTGAATAAAAGGACGACGGCCCAGGATGGACAAGGGGGGGGTAGCAACAGTCCTGGCCCACAAGGACCGCCGCAAGGACTCGGAGTTTATGTCACATTTTCTAGGAAAGAAGATGCACATACCTGTATTGCGGCCGTAGATGGAAGTCAAAACGGTGACAGAACCTTGAGGTATTGTTTGTGTACATGATTTCCTAGACTTATGCTAACTTGCAGGGTAGAGCGACCTATGGAACTACGAAATACTGTTCTGCTTATCTTCGCGGCGAAGCTTGTCCTAATAAGAATTGCATGTTCTTACATGAGCCGGGAGAAGAGGCTGAATCTTTTGATCGCCAAGGGCTATCTGAATACAACACCCGTATGCATACAGCATCTACACGAGGACCAGCGCCACAGCAACAACCTCCAGTTGCAGCAGCGGCACCGCCCCACCCACCGCCTTTACACCAGCATAGCGCCCAAATGACCAGAATAAGCTCACACCAAGGGCGCTCCGGCACCCCTGATGGCGGAGAATCGTCTGCTTTACCATCAACAGCAAACTGGGCCAAGAATCCACCGACACCTGCAGTAAGGTCCGCCGTTCCTGTACCTCAGCAGCAAGTTATCTCTGCCACTGTATCAAAGGTTTCAACACCTAGTCCAAAGACCGCACCCGCAGCTCCAATGGTACAAAGTCGCAGCCAAGAGAGTGGGGAAAGTGCTACTAGCGGGGGTAAAGGTTCAACATCAACGACAACTACATCCAGTACTTCCAATAACGGGAAATCTCCCAATGTAGCTACAGATGTAGCTTCGGAATCAATTTCTTCACCTCCAAAGGCGCCTCCACCCCCTCCCGTAAATAAAACTGCACCGCCACCCCCACCGTCTAAATCAATTGAACCAGAGCCATCAGCAATGGATGAACATTTCCAACGGTTCTTGAGATGTCAAAAGGCCGCTGCTAATCCCAAATTCAAATTTGTATTCTCTACCAAATTTCTTAGTCCTGACGAATACCAAGATATCGAGAACATCCCGCCAATGTTTGATCGTCATGGTGGAAAGCGTAGGAGAGAAATTGCAGAAAAGATGAGAAGTCAGCAGGATCATGGCCACGAAGAGTCAGTGGAAGAGGTTTCACAACCCCAGCCACCTGTTGGTACCATGTCAGGGGCGCCAGGGCTACCTCTGAATGTAGCAGGGAGAGGAGCAACCCCACTACAAAGGGATCCTCTTGCATTGCTAAAGGAAACCGCAGCGAATCAGCAACAACAAGGGCTTGGTGCGTTTCAACAACAAGAGAACATCCAGCAGCAACTCCAACAGCAGCAGCAGCAACAGCAGCAGCAGCAACAAAATTCAATGAGGGTGCACACTCCAGGCGGTCTGCTTCATCAGCAACAACAAGCGTTTAATCCATTCCAAGCTGGTGCTGCCTCTTTAGGTGGCCCAGGACAACAATCACACTCTGGTTCTATGCACGCGCGCCAATCTTCGAGATATACATTTGCCAATGAGAATCCGGCCTCAGCGGTAACCTCCGTCAACCCTCGTGGCAATGCTGTCCATATGGCCGAACAAGTCCGTATGATGCCTCAACAGGCACAGCAACAACTACACAATCAACAGCTTGCTGCACAGTTCTACGGAGCAACAGGGGGGGCTCCAGGTCTTGGTGGCGGAATGTTGGGTGGAAACGTTCAACAACCGCCTCCAGGATTGAAGAGTGCTCCCACTCCACCTGCACCGGGAATGGGAATACCTATGGGGGCTTTACATGGTCTTGGTGGACAATTTAGCGGGTTGGGACTGGGCGGTCATCATGGAAAAAGCGAGAATTCGGAGGTGTTATTGAGGGAGTTTATGAGGGGAAGCGGTGCCAGTGGACTTGCCAATTCTGGAAGTGGGCTAGGAAGATCCGGAGATGGAAAACGTATGCTTTCTGCTTCACTACAGAGTGGGGGAAGGTATACTGATTTGCCAAATGCAGTCGATCTTGTTGATCCTAGTATTCTCCAAGCTAGGGTCGCCCAACCCCAACAGCAACAACACCAGTTACACCATCAAGGACTTCAAGCTGGAAACACCCAAGGGCAACAAGGTGCGTACAATCAGAGCATGTACTATGGAAATGTCGGCAGGTGGTAGGTAGTGGAATTATAGGGTTCTGCGCAGGTCTTCTTTCGAAGTGTCATGGATGCTCGCGGCAGCAGGCGGGCAGGCAGGGATACTATTACTATTTCTCATGTCCTGATTATATTTTGTGTTCTCTTTTCACTCGAGGCGTTCGTATTTGGGGAATGGGTTTCTCTTTTTTCTTTTATCCAGTTATTTTGACTGTGCTATTGATTTTGTGCAACCGTTTCTATAGGGGGTTCTCTTATTTCCAGTCCCTTGCTATCTCTTACTATTTCAAAAATTTTGTTTTGGATTCGGGGGGTTTGGATGCAGGACAAGGAAAGACCAAAACCAATCCTATTTATGGGTGGAAACTAAGCCTAATGGGCTGGAAACGGTGTTTGAAAAGTCTCTTGCGGGCCTACGCTTTTCGAAAGCTACCACTTCAGCACTGCATGTATGTCCATACCTTACCTTTAACATTTTGCGATTACATTGTTGGCTGCCGCTTCTCATGTATTTCATTTCTAGTATTTATGTTCTCTTCCTTTCATTTTGCAGTTAGAAGAATCAGAGAATCATGCAGTGTAGAATAGTCCTTGCCTGCCTGCCTCCTGTCATGGTTAAAGATATGTTAGGAAGATGATTATAGTTGATGATGAAGGCCCGTACAGAACCCGCCCACAATACCTAACTACCTATCGGCTTTCCATTCTTCAGATTTTCAAAACATAAATACTAAAATATCTGTACTGTAGGTTTCGGTCTCAATATCAGTACGGGTTTCTTCTCCCAGAACCAGTCTCAAACACCATCACGAAATTTGACCCCTGGAATCATCGGCGAGGAAGATTTCCCAGCCCTAGCACCCCCTAAAACAACGGCAATAACGAAACCAACTGTACCTGTAGCCATACCTGCCATCTCCATCCCATCGAAAAAAGTAGCCACGAGTAAGCAGACAACAAGCGTTGTCTCAAAAATTCCCACTTTGCCTTCTGCATGGAAAACAAAATCAGATGAGGAGGCGTCGATGTCGGGGTCCTCAGCAGCGTTACTGCCGGCTTCATCTAGTAAAAAAAGACTAGAGTTACCCAAGGTTGATACGTTTCCAACTATCATTGATGTTGTGAAAGACGAGACAGCACCGGGCCTGCCTACAGCCCCTCGCATGATCAGAATTCTCCCGACACAAGCTGGATTTAAAAGTGCAAACTCGGAGAGCGCAGTATCAGAAACAGCATCAGTATCTGGGATGTCAAGTAGACCTGTTTCCCCTCCATTACAACCCCAGCAACAACCCCAGAAGAAGAGCAAAAGCGCACTTAAAAGAGAACGCCGCAAGGAGGCCGAGGAGAAGGAACGTGAGCTGCAGCAAGAAAGATTGAAAAAAGTGGAGGAGGTCCATGCCCCTATCATTGGAAGAATGAAGAAGAAGGATAAGAAGCGTGCTGATGGAAGTATCGAGAGTCCTCCAAGCCCTCATGCGACGGAGAAGCTGGATGTCCCCCAGATGCCTATGCCGGAGAAGCGTGATACACCTACAAATTCTGCAGTCGGCACGGCTACTGCAACACCAGCGCAGACAGAACCCGAACAGCCCCCCGCGTCAAATAAGACTGTGGCTCAACTTCTTCAAGAGATCAACGATATTCACTTCGCTACTCTCGAAATGTTTAAACCAATAGTAGGCATCAGGTATGAGCTCCACGTAACGGCGGACGAACTCGCTCAGATCAAGACTCGCGATGATACCAGTTCCAAGTCCGAACCTCAGGGGCAACAGTTGAAGCATTCTGGAATAACGGGGATAAATCTCCGTGGAGGCGGTACAATTACGATGCACCAACTTGTTACCCCCGGTGGTAATGTCCTTACTGGCCTCACACAACAGCAAGAAGATCATTTTTTGAAACTGGAAGAAAGTCGAAAGCGTGAAAAAGCATGGGAGAGGTATCCTACAACCATGAAGGAGTGGAAATGGATGCCAAAAAATACATTACTGGCGGAGATGAAGGGGGGAGGCGAGGGAAAGGTAACTTTGGAGGAATTGAAGGAAAAGGTCATAGCAGCAAGAAAAGAAACAGAGGCTTTCGAGAAGAAACTCGAGAAGTTATTGAAAAGGAATAAGAAGCTGGTTGGCTTGGCTTAATCTACCTGCTAGCAAGGAGTAGAGTTTCTTTTGATTCTTCTACTGGCGTGAATGGTTAAAGCCACTTTTTCAATTATACCCCATTGTTTCTTAGTATTGAGTAAAGAGTTTTGAGGCTGTTCTAGCTCATCTGTTCATGGAGTAGTTAAATTCGAGTCTCGTATCCCGACGCCTACGTATACAGCATGTATGTACATACATGCGCTATGGTTGCGTGTACTGGTCATCAGTTTATATCGTTAACTAAAAAGTTTCGAGATACAGTGCATTAAAGCTCGAGATAATCAACGATATTTATACACAAAAGGGTTCCGGGTGGAGCTGATAAATACGATCAAGCAGAACAAACTATCGTGATTGATTTCCCGCATATGTTGTAGACTTTAATGGGGTGCTTAAAACGCAATTAAAGGTAGAGAATTAAACAAAAAAAAAATTAAAGCTAGATTTTGGTTTTTATGCATGCGTGGTGTTCCAGATATTATTCAATAGATTGACCCTAAAGCCCACGCACGGTGTTGCAAACCTCAGCCTCCTCCTGCCTGACTACATGTAGAAATACATATATTCCCCTCAATTCTTTATTTTTGCCCACGTGGCCACTCTAGCACCGGAATTTCAAATTTTAACCAACTATAATTACAGCGTAAGATTATAGATATCCTAAGAAACCAATATTATTGATCTAGCTATAGAGGTTTATAGTAACTCCATAAGGGAAGAAGTTGTGACTGTGGTTATTGCAAAGCCTAAGCTCATTTTATATGGGAGCCAATCAATTATAAAAGTACTTGTAGGTTACACAGATATAACGGAAGGCTTAGTCAGGGCAAATATACAAAGGGGTAATCGAGCTCGAGAGCGGAGCCATACTACTACTAGTCCTCCTGACCGCAAAATCTTAGTGATAGAAACCGGCTCTGAGATCACTGATATCATGATTACATGTATTTAGATACATGGGTCCTATCTGGTGTGATTTGCTACTCAATATGTGGTATGATACTAATACGTACCTACATGTAGCTAGCTGGCTTTAGGATTGGAGGCGACCCAAGCTGTGTTGCTGGGATACATGTACAGATTCCGGTAGAATTATTGCGAAAGTGGGTTCTCCGTGACCCGATAGTCCTATTGGCCCTTAAAAGATTTTTGCTACGAGCACTGGCCAACAAAATCCACTCTTTTAGCTCTGACTTTCGCAATAATTCTACCGGAAACTGTATGTACTCTAGTTCTCGGCAAACAAATCTATTGGCTGTTAGAAACGACATATGGACGATATTCGTTTTAAAATACATGTAGTTGACTCTTATGAGTCTTTGACGTACATACATCTATTAAGCTTGTTTGTTTGCAAGGTTGTAAGCCTACATACATACAGACCACTGGGAGTCACTCCATATCTGTGCCTCTACTAGGCAGCAAGCCCACAGCAGCGGGATAGAGTCAAAGCACTGCAGGCATTAATATATGCATGGTACTCGCAATATGCAACGTACATGTAGGCCATATGGACTTACATCCCGATGCTTTGGCTCTATCAAAAGAACCCCAATTTCGATTCTGGCAAATTCACAAAAATTATGTTTCTTTTATTTTTTTTCAATCCTTTTATTTACCATATTGGCCAAACTGCCGTGATATCGGGTTTCCTACAAAATCTGACCTGTCTTGATGACACAGAGTGGCATACTGATAGACATGCAGATTGATAACTACATACATATCTACTATGTACTAGGGTGTAGCGAAAAGTGATCAGAATCTGATAAGACAAATACACGTATTCACCGCAACATTCACTTATCAGATTCTGATCACTTACCCTCAACACCCGGTACTGGATTATGGTTTTTTCTGAAGTCCTTGCAGTCTGATTGGTTGCACAAACTGCGTAGCAACCGGCTAACCCCAGCAAAAATTGGGAGCGGGCAGTGAGACTGGCCGTGGCATTAACAGGATGGCAATATTGGAGGTGTCATTAACTGGAGCTGGCATTAATTGGAGGTGGCATTGGAATTGGCCATGGGAGATACACATCTACAGGTTGGCATTGGAGGTAGCATTGGAGGTGGCTAAGTGGAGGTGGCATGAGTCGAGATACCTCATTACTAAATGAAAGAACTGGATCACTACCGGAGGAGGTGGACATTTGCGGGAGCTGGCTGTGGTCAACGGGGTGGGAGCTGGCCATGAGTTGAGATGGCTAAGGGCGAAATTAATTAACTACTGGAGGTGGTCAAATACTACACGGAGGTGGGAGCTGGCCATTAATTAGCTACTGGAGGTGTCAAATACTACACGGAGGTAGGAGAGGTTCTCAGGTGGGAGGAGACCTCGCGGTCGCGAGGTGGGTCACTACTAGTGTATACATACATACTTGCTACGAGAATGAGTTTCCGCCACCACTTTTGTCCGCATTTTCACGTACACCGCCTGGACGTAAATCACCGTTGCGGAGCAAAACTACACCAAAACGCCAAAATCAGCCCTTTTCAAATAGCCCCCCCAGAACCCACCATTTTAAGATATAACTTATACCAATCAGTAAAGGATAACTTAATAGTTAGGAGAATCCTCTGGCAGTATTAATTCCATAAAAAAAATAAATAAAAAAAAAATAGCATGGATGGTAGAGCATTTTGTTCGGTTGTTCTCAGAAAATGTGCCAAGACCTCGAATTTGTATGGGGTCTTGGCAAAATTCGCCATATCCCAAAATTTGTAAATTCAAAGCCACATAACTTCCCACATATTTAGTGAGAAGAATTATAGCTCAGAATATATGTTCTTCTAAGGCGTACCTTCCTATCCTGAAAGTTTCATGGTGTTTAGATAAGAATTGGGGCTTAGGGAGGTGGCCAATTTTGGGTGTTCCGGCGGAAACTTATTCTCGCCGCAAGTACATATACTTAATTATATATTTATATAGAGCTTGCACTGAGAAAAAAAATGCGAAATGTAGAGTATCTACATATGTATTCATGAACGGAAATAAACACCGATCATTGATAAAATGCAGTGTATTTATAGATCTGGTACTATAGTTGATGACTTGGGCGGTTTAGGTTTATAATTGCCAGGATTTTCTTATCGATAGGTTGAAGATCCACTGGGTTGTATTCGACAGGATACCGATTTTGGTGGTGTAGTAGTTATTTCCCGGCCTTATCATGATCATGTAACTAGAACATGCGTATATACTTTATATAGTACGATATACAGTACCTTCCACCAAGTTGATACCGTATGTAGATCTAAAGCTCAAGGCTCATGTGGATAATATCTATTGAGCAGCCGGATTGTGTTCTAATCCTCGAGACATAATACATGTATCTTATTGATTAGGGCACTTACTCTTCGTACAATCCTATGAGATTAGGTATGTGGATAGGGTTACGGTCTCTGTTCCAACATGTCCCAGTGACGAATTACGTCTCGATCTCAATGTCCTGAGTCACGCGAGATTGTTTGGTTGCGTCTGCAACCTGCACCTGCTCGCATACCAGCAGCGGGTTCCTTTTTTCTCACTTGCCCACACCATCTTTTATTATCAATGAGCGTGCCGTTAATTTATGAAAAGCTGTAGAGTGGAGTTTTGAAGTGGGAAGCTCGAGAAGGTGGAATTTGATCCATACATATGTGGTATTGTATGTACAGCTGTTTTGTATGTATGTAGGTACATAGTGGAGGTGTGGTTGTTACACACACCTATTGTTCGATTGGTCCTTTGAGTCAAAGCCAAGGTTCGAAGCTACAATGTCTACATAATCTGCCCAAACATCAGAAAATCAAACCTGAGGACGTGTGATTAGTAGCTGCCATCGTATCGAGAACTTCGGCAAGGGGGTTTGCCAGGCTTGCAGGTGGCATATCCATTATCTTTTGTTACAGCAGGTACAAGCGTCTTCCATCCCTCCATCCCTCCATCCATCCATCCATCCTTCTTCCCTTTCTTCAGCAACAACACCACTGACTAGTTACGGGTACATACTGGGGACAACAGGCAACCGGTGCTGTACTCCTCTGTTCTAGTACTTTTGTGCAGAACTAGCACCAGCAGTGTTCCGCGATATCAAATCAAAGGCTCTGTATTTCAGGCGACTAAAAGATCCACGGAGCCAGTGTTGGACCTGTAAGTGCGTATTCCTTGCTCCCATTTAACTACCTGTATCTCACTGTTACTTTTGTATACCTTGTTGATGCTTTTCTGCCTACCTACTCTTTTACCCTATCTCGCATTTCACCAAATTTGTTGTGTACTTAACCCTTCCCCTTCGATCCAGTAGTATATTTCCTAGTTACTCCCCCATCGCCTGATATCTTATCCGCCTAGTTATCGATTATCCTTTGCGCGTTTTCATCGCTGTCGCTCTTGGGTTTTCGAGGTGATATTCATAACCTTATTCTGTTAGAAGGTTGCCCTGCCCTGTCCGTGCCTTCAGCTAAACAGCGTTTAGTTATCCAACCCCCCACATATTCACTTCCCGCGCCCCTTCACATCTCTCCGCCACCTTCAAGATTATACCAATTTCTGTTTGATTTATCTTTTTCTGGCGCTGGCTCGCCTTCACGGATAATTTGATTATCGCCTATCGACTTTGCTGAGTATTGTAGCCACATCACCCAGACCCCTTGCCCGCTAGCTAGCCACCAAGTATCAAGCGAGCGATACACTTAGCTCTATCGCTATCGAAGCTCACCTCCCCCGGAATTTCCTAAGAACACATCAAAAGCTGCGAAAAGAGAAAGGAGGATAGGGAGAGACCAAAAAGGGATTTAAGATACTCGAGAAAATACAGTGGATTAAATAAATGTGATGGCTGTCGCAGATCAGGATTTCATAGACAACCTTGACATCTTTGCTTAGCAGCATCACCCCCCACACCCATAAATATACATACAACAGCTTTCATCCTATCTCCCACCGAGTTATTCCCGTCGATCGATTACATAACGATCTTCTCGCCATGTACGGACACGAATCACCGCTCCCTTGGAGCACACCTCCTCGACGGAGAACAACTGCTGCAGGAGCAACAACCAACGACGACCCGGATTCATCATCAACAAGACGATTCTCCGCAGGGTTTACATATGCTGGAATGGATGGTTCTGGTTCAACTTCTTCTGGGGGGTTCACGAATATCGCTTCTGGGGGTGCTACAGGAGGACATACACGTTCCGGATCGCATGGTGGCTACTCATCGAATGTGCCAGGGGGGAGTGGTGGCGGTGGGGCACCCGCCGAGAGGACAAGCAGAGATAAAGCAAATCAGATAGTGCAGGCATATTTTGGGAAGGCCGCAATGGTAATTTTACACGCAAGAGTGGTCCTGCCCCCAACATTTTCACCAAAGAGTGGACAAAAGAAAGTCAACAGATGGGTATGGCAAAAATTTCATTTGTTTTATGCTTGTGAATCAGATATACCTAACGAAGAGAGGATATTCACTAATATTCTTGCCCGAGGTAGTTTAATATCGAGCTTGACGAGACGGACGCATTTCGAGAAATCCTCGAATTATGGCGTAAGGGGGATTGCTTTGAACCAAGACCTCCTCCAATGATAATAGAAACATACCTAGACGCAACAGATTTGACAGCAAACCAATCATTAGTAATTCTAGATGGCGAAGGAAAGAGATGGAACGTAAATGAAGCCCTTGATACAGCTGCAGCTGTGGCCGGAGTAAACAATACAGAATCGAGGAAGGCTGGGCGTGGTGGTGGATCGCGCCACGAAGTGATTATGGAGAGGTGGACCGTAGATTTGAGGTATGCCCTGGTTTTCCTTAAGTTCTTACCTTCAAAAGATACCAAGCCCTCATTTGTTCCCCTTTTCCTATGCTATCTTACGGGTTATACTTCGTTTGGGAAACTAACATTATCGTAATATTGCAATCAGCCCTCCATATGATATCGCTCATGCGCCAGAGCTTCCAGTGGTATATAAAAAGGGTATCATACTCTTCCGTGCATTGTATGCTTATGCAGGACTTATGCCGACCTGGAAGTTTCGACGGCGGTTGTCGAAGGTTAAACTCAATACCAGTACGTTGAAAGTAAACTGCAGAATAATTAATGGCAGCAATTATACCCGAGCCCCCAAGGAATGGGATTTATTACAGGTACCACTATATGAGGGCGATAAAGAAGTAACAGATACATATTCTTTCCCAAGGGTCGAAAGTCCAGCGGGGTGTTTTGATATATCTGTGGAATTTAGGAAAAATTGCGAGTTTAGGGTTGATGACTCCGAAGCCCTGCTGAGCTCGCATTTTATAAATCTTGATGAACACTATTTTCGGCCATCATTAACACAAAAGGCCCCTTCAGAACAACCTCTTGGTTACGCCTCTGTTGGGAAAGAAATGAATTCGTTGCCTTCAGCTAATACTCATCCACCACCAAGACCGGACTACAATCAAACATACGGAAGCTTATCCTCATTTCATCATCAGGGAGCAGTTCCTTCGGGCGCTAGCCCGATATCCGCTTTGAGAACTGCTGCAGAGCTAGCCGATAGGGCTTCAATGAATAGTTCGCCTATCGAACGACCTCCCACTGGGCTGCGGTCAATACAGTGTTCAAAGTCATCACTGCGAAGCTTTGAAGGTGTACAACGGCGACCTTCAGTATCTTTTATGCAGCCATTCAAATCACCTTCATTGTCGGCTTCGCCCGCAAATTCGGATCAGGTGGCATCCTCACCACGCACGTCGTTAAGTCGAATCATGACCCCAGTAGCTCCTAGCCATCGGCAGCGGCCAAGCCTGGGAACAATGTCGCCAACATTTAGGAATTCTCCTGGACTCCCCGACGGGACACCTAACCAAACACCTGTGCCTGTATCTTCTTTTCCCGGGTCATCTCCCCTTGCTCAAGGCCAGCCTATTACGCGTATTACAAGTAGTTTCGGCCAACGTCGGCCAAGGATTATTTCTGGAGCAAGCCGGACTGATGATGACAATACAAGCAGTGGGAAAGCTAGCTATAGCTCATCGGCTGCACCCGGATCAGGGCTTTATTTGGACGCTGGGGCTAACTCCACTATGGACGAGGACCTTCAAATAAGGGACTTTATGTCGATGCTGGCGGACGGCCAAAGACAAACACTCAAGAGTTTCCAGCCTAGTGGAATTGCTGGTGAAGGTTCAAGTAAAAGGGCAGGAAATGCTTTATCAAAGTTTCAGAAAATGAGAGACTCGCAAAGTGCTCTGGCAGAGTCAATGTCTTCGTCCCTGTTGCTGCAGCCTTCACTGGGTTCGCCCTCGACATCGAGCAGGCACTTGACGAATGTCCCAGTAATGGTGCCATCGACAGCACTCTCATCATCTTCATCTCCTGGAAAACCAATATCTCCACACACCCCACACACTCCACACACCCCGGCAATTCCATCCCGACTTAGTGAAGGTCTCACTGCACAGTATGATCAACGCCGACATCGTTCTCCGCGCCCGCCCCGGGGGGGGCAGCAAAACAATAGGGAGAGCGCTATTGGTGAAAGAAGACAGGAGATTGGCCAAGAGATGACTACGGCCTCTAAGACATCACCACTGGACATTCCCAATTCACCCCGTCCCTTCCCACGTAGATCAAACTCAATGTCTCAACCGCCCGAAGATGGCGGTGCTTCTCTCGACTTCGATCCGACTGTCGCATATGGTCCAAATCAGCGTCAGAGTGCTAGTTTAGGGAGTGTAAATATGGTCCCACTAAGTCTAAGTCGGCTATTAGATCTACAAAATGCATCTGAAACAGCTATTTCTGGCAGGGAAGACTCTGGAGAACTTTGTGATAATGGCAGCGATGATATTCTGGCATTTGGACCGCCTGGACCTCCATCTATAGATTCTGTTGAAGGGGAAAGGCCACGATTCCAGCAGAGGTATACAAGAGGAAGTACACCTTCCGGTCCTGGATCTTCTGGTCAAACCTCGCGTGGCAGATTAAGTCGGGGACAGCCCTCAGCTGGTTCATCTAGCCTGATAAGCGAACGTATCAACAGTGGGGCGCCTACTAGTCGGATGAACGGGCCGTCATCTATTGAAAGAAGAACGCCGAGCTATAATCAGGATGACGAATTGCTTTTTGACATGAGTGACATGACTGGTACTCATCAGTCAACAAGGAGGAGCTTAGAACAGGGGAGCGGGGGCAGAGATGTATCCGCAAGTTCTCCTGGTAGACGGGGAAGTCGTGGTGGTCTTGGTGGTAGTGGAGGTATGGGCAGAGGTGATTGGAGTTGATTCTCGTGAGGACCCTGAGGTCATTTTTTGAGCTATTTCAGCAGTGGTAGGAGGCTCGCATTATTATTTATGTTACTTGCTCTGCTTTTTCCTTTTTTCCCTTTTTCCTTTTTTCCTCCCCCCTTTTTTTATTGGTGTTCGCTTTCTTTCCATATTGTCTGTAGCCTTTTGTGCGGTGATTTCTCTTTATTGTTTGAAGCGCAGGCTTTGGATAGCGCTGTTGAATGGAGGGTTTATTGTTATTCGAAGATGTTATGTGAAGTTTTTTATGGGTTTTATTTTTATTTTTCGGCATTTTTTCTTTACGTCGGTCTAATGCTACTAACGTGGCGTTTATAACTGGGCCAGTCTAACCAATTTTCCTCCGGTTACATTCTTGCTTATCTCTTCTCATCATTTACTGTCTATAACAATTTTATATTCATATCTAGGATATTGGGGTTTGGAGTTTTTCATCTGGTTTTCTTGCACGTTATTTTGATCATACCCCCTCGAAGGATCTTATCCGTCAGCTATTTATGTTTTATACACCGAAATGCACTTGAGTCCGGCCTTTCTTCATTTTCATGTGGAGCATTCGGTTTTCGGGGGTTTTCTTCTCTTTTTTTACGAGGGAGAATTGTATCACAGGCATTACATAGACATAGCGTGGCATAAAGTACAATATACTGTCGGAGCTGCATGCAATGTACTCGATTTTACCATCGCATTTGTTTTATCAGCGAGGAGATATCAGAATATTCAATGGTATATAGTACGCACGTATATACAGTGGATCCAATAGGTATTGAAGCAATGCGAAGCTGGGACGGGTGAAAGCGCCGAATCCCCCCCGCCCCCTTTTCTCTTTCTTTTTTTTTTTAAAAAAAAAAAAGCTTGGTATTGTGGCGATTTCGGCAACGTGAGGTTGTGACACAATGCGGAAACGTTATCGGGGCTCACTGTCACTAGCGAGTGATGTTCTATGTTCATATATACATGTATGCAAGACCGAAACGAACAGGGGCGTTTGTTATGAAGTCATATGTGGTAGCCTGGTAGGCGTATGTAGACCTAGAAACAGGGCTAGCTACGTGCTCTGAAATGATAAAATCGACGATGGGAAGCTACTCTACACACGTATGCTAGAAGAAAGAAATGAGTAGCCACGTGGACCTCTCCCTCGAAGAGTACTTGTACCTACGGTTGTGCGTTTACTGGCATTTAGTAGTATACTACAAACAGTTCGGAGGTCACAAATCTTTAAGGCGGTGGTGGTGGTTGGCCAAGTTCTGGTAGGCCGGGCCTATAGGGCTGTATCGATCAATGACATATCCTAGGCTGATCTACAGATTAAACCCTACTAATCGTCCTAAATTTATTCTTATTGGTGCTTCCATCTTTCGCACGAGTGAGAAACTGTGATGATAATAAGCCCAATAGTATAAGGTGGGAAGTTATGTATATAATAACCTGGGAGTCTTTAACTTAGCATGGCGCATGCGCAGCGTACCGTCTTTTGGGTAAACATTCAGATGGAATATATGCTCTATGTAGAGCCGTGGCACATGCGGGCACTGAACCACGGATGAACATGGCTCTCTGTGTTGAGGTCCAGGGATAGGATGCGTGTAACTTGGGGGCTGGGAGGCTTTGGGGTATTGGGCGGCTTGATTCATGTGACTTCAGACACAACACTCCTTTTTTAACTATCCGCAGAGCCTCCCGGCAACATCACAAGCAGCTAATTATGCAGCTCTATGATATATATCCTTCAAAGGCTGAATCTTCGTCCGAACTTGAGCCAGATCTCATCACACACCTCGTTCCAACCCCCGATTTTTCCCGCTATACACCGAGGAACAATGGAATTTCATTCGTGCGCGGATTGGGGTGATCTAAAATAGACTGACGATCCGGCACTTTCGTTACATATTACTACATATAGTATGCGAAAAGGTTTGAAAGGCTTGAATATTGAGAATCAGGCAGGTGTATCTCGCTGGTTCATCAGTTCTTACCTTCAGCATTTTACGGATATCGTTCCGGTCAAGAGCTACTGTTAATGTCATACACGTTCTCAACGTAAATCATTGTAATTGGCAGATATTGTTCTTACGGCTAACGGCAATACTGCCATTCACGAGTTCATCCAATCTCTATGCTTCCCTCTTATCAATAGCATCGTTGGCATCCGAGTCTTTACAGCTTAAGCCGGGTCTAAGAGTTTAAGCCAGACTCCAAAACTCGAATCACAACGTCTCCGAGGGCTGAGCCTTATCATTTTTCAAGATCGCGGCTGCTCTTGAGATCTCCTTTGAATACAAACTGCATATACATGCAGGTCTCGGAAAGAAGCGATGAAAGAAATCCAGGTTTCTGCGCACAGTGGGGTGGTGATGGTGTTCCACTACGAAAAATATCTATCGCTGGCGCATATATACAGGGAAGAGCCAGATTCCGAGAAGATCTGGAAGAATGATGGTAATCTACGATATGAGTCAACCTACGTTGCATTCCAGTTTGACAGTTGGACAATTAGATTAAGTCAAAAAATACTGTTTTGTGAGGAATATTGAAAGGAAAAAAAAAAATGATATAGGTGGGTTTCGTAGAGTGGGACACAACAGGTGACGTTGAAATAAGCATCCGAATCTGATGAGTGACAGACAGTAGGAGAGATCGGAATTATTTCCTTGCCAAGCCATTCAGTGCGGAAATGATTTGCTCTATGCGCAGATGCAGCAAGTAAGATAGACCGATCCCTCCATTTGGGTAAAAACACAGCAGTCCCGTTCGCAAAGACACAAAATGAAATTCATTTTGTTGGCACGTAACAAAGGGCATACCTAAGTATTTTGTTACTCCCGAATTGTGTGGGCGAAGAGAGAAAAACGGACAGGTTTTGTTAGCAAATAGATTTTGCCCACGAAGACTTCTTAATTCGGGTGGCATGTGCAATACATAATCAAGCTCGATTTTGCCGGAGTTGAACTGCCGGTAGCTACATGTACATATGTAGATTTATGTAGGTGCTCTAAGGCTGCTTGGCATAGATAATACAGGTACATGTATGTACTATTGCGTCAAACATGCACCTCATGTCGTCCCAACCCAAACTGCATGGCTTGAGTTGAGATCCAGTCTACAGGCTGACAGCTTGTGCCCTGAGGTCAGATGGAGTGGTGTGGTTCTAAATAATTAGGTGATCCATGCATGTGCATCTCATGCTCATGCCGGTCAAAAGATATTCCAGGTCTCCTCGGTTGCGGTAGAAAATCCCATGGGGAGGAATACTTAAACAGGTCTTTCCCTCATCCCAGGGCCTGGGGCTTTTATGGGATACAATTGCAATGAAATACACAGAGAGGCTCGTAATCGATATTTTTCTGCCATTGCAATTGCACCAGCCCGCGGACTGCAGATTTGGATGTGCCCTATCCGGCGCTCTAAAACCCTTTATTGCATTGTTGTCTAGATTAATAAATCCCAGGCTGGTGCGCGGGGAATTATATATTGTGCAACCGGAGATCGCGCGTGGAGCCGGGAATTAATTGTGCCTGGTAAAAGACCAAATTTGTATGAAATATATGGCGCTGAACGAATTGGGGGGAGTGTACGTGCATGCTCCCAAGCAGTGATATCATTTTTTTTCAGCGGGAACACCTAGACACAGAATCAGAGACAGAGGCTGATCTGATATATTGATAGCTGTCCTGATGGAAAACTACGTTAATGGGTACAATCAATTAATTGCTGAAGAAGTGACCCACGTCAATGGCAATCACAATTTGATGGACAGCAGAGACCACGATTACAGCACCAGTACAGGATTTTTTTCGAGATACAGACCAATATCTCCGGGAAGAATGGCAGACTTAATCGGTGTCGATTTCAACACCTTCTGCAGTTGTCGATCCTGGCTGTCAAAACCGATACTCATGCTATAGAAAACGCGTAAATTGAATACAACCTCCGGATCCTAGTGCACGATTAACCCTAATAAATCGTCCAAGGGGTGCCATTTCAAGAAATCACAAGGAATCGCAGGTGGATCGAGAGGGCACCCGGTGGACTCTCTATCTTGCATCCGCAATCAGGGAAGATCTGCGATTTTCATTATCCTCAGGCAGCGGTGCTCGAGGGCAACGACATGATATCTCAATATTATCACCTCTAGCTATATGCCCCTATAGCTAGTACAAAGACCGCGACTGCAGCTGTGTAGCGTACTATACCATTAGTTGAGCACATCTAGCGCCTGCCTAGAGAAGAGCCAGGTCACTTATCGCCGTCTCTGTTATGCCTAACTACATGTAGATTAAAATTGGGTCTATGGTCCCTGGAAGGCTGGAACCCTGTGGCAGTCAGTTCTTGGCACATTCGTTGACAAAAACTTTTTAAAAAATTACCCCGCCGAATTTGCCCCACCACTTCAAATACTGCTCGAAGCCCGATTATTTCCACCCTCAACAGCTGCTCTCTTTCGTCTCCGCTCGACTCCTTCTTCCGCTACCTTCACAAGTTTTCTTCTGTGGGGTATACGGGCCTGTGCCGTCAATAAAGAAAAAATGGACGAACAACGTCTCGTTCAGCTCTTGGAGCAAATTCTCACTCGTAATTTCCCTCAGCCGATTCCTATTACTTCTCATAAAAGTTTCCTCCTAAAAGGATCCATAAGCTAATAGAAACATTGCATGTATACAGCGGATACTAATATCGTCAAGAATGCGACAACAACCCTCCGCCGGGATTTCTACTCCAACCCCGAGTCGCTTCCGACCTTGATTCACATCCTGAAGGCTCATCCTAATCCTCAAGTCCGCCAAATGGCCGCTGTTGAGACCCGTAACTTGATCCCTCAATTTTGGGGTGTTAGGAACAATGCTCCGTCAAAAATTCCCGCAGAAATGAAGCCACAGCTTCGGGATTCGCTGCTTCAATCAACAATTGCTGAGCCCAACTCTCTAGTCAAACATTCCTCTGCTCGAGCTATCTCTGCCATTGCAAAGATTGATTTG